CTCGCCCGAGAAACTAGTCCCGCTGGAAATTTATTCCGGCGAAGCGAGAACAACAAATTACAGCCGGTAGTCGATCTCTCCTAATACGACGCGACGGGAATGCCAGAGCTCGAAACTCAGCGTGTCGACACCGCGGAAGATTGACGACATATTGACAGTCCGAGCAAGTGGAAAGCAAGTCGACCGTCGTCGTCGATAGCTTCGTAAATAATTGACTTATAGGAGGAAGTAACGGGGCGAGAACCAGTCAAATTGGACGGATGCGGCACAACGTCGCCAAAGTTCAATACCGAGCAGAGTCCGGGAAGATTTCCAGAGAAATTTCGGACGACCTCGACGAAGCGTCTCTATAATCGTAACGATGTCCGTCGCTTGCACGATTTTTTACCAGCCGTCCTATTGAATTAAATAACAAGCCCTCGGGCCTAACTGCTCTGTCAGCCGTCGTGAAGGTTAAATAATTCCCCCCCCCTCCGCCCCTCTCTCTCTCTCTCTCTCTCTCTCTTTCTTTACCGTCGGTGCTCTTCCTCCCGAACAAGTATCGCGCCTAAGTCAAATTTACGAACGCATCGGTCGCGCGGATTGCAAAGTAATACTCCGGCCGCCCTGTGTTTCTTAGCCGCGAAGAGGAACCAACAACAGCATCAGCACGGAGGAAAAAGAAGCAGGAGGCGGAGGAGGAGGAGGAGGAGGAGGAGGGGGAGGGGGAGGAGGAGGAAAGAGAAATATAATAAAAAGAGCCATGGGGCAGGAGCCTGCTTTAGCCAGGCCAGATCCCGCCAGGACGATAACACGAGGACACATCGCCACCTCGACGCGACGATCGTAAAACTTGGTCAGGTAAAGACGCGGTCCGTTTGAGACCTGCTGCTAGGAGGACGGACAGGAGCTGGTTATAGGATAGGTATTATAGTCCTGGACTGCTGTCGGTCTATCGCGAGGGATGCGCGTCCCGTACGCGCATCCTTCGGGGTGGTCCTGGCGACGACATCGGTTCATTAATCGGCCAGATACCCGAGAAAAATGCGCTTTTACGACTACTCTTTCTTCCTCCCTCTCTCTCTCTCTCTCTCTCTCTCTCTCTCTTTCTCCACCTTCTCCTCCTGCTCTCTCCCGGCCAATGACGCTTCTTTCGCTCTCCTTTTCTCTTACCTCTAGTTCTTGTTTGCTGCCGGTTACACTGTCACGCTTGTCCGCCAGTTTCGTGAAGGAGGCGCCCGGTGGCTTATTATCATTCGCCGAGAGGACGATCCCGAAGAGGGGCGGGGGGGGGGAGCCGGATAATTATAGGTTGGACTCGATTAACGCGATACTTGACAACGTTGTTTCGGTTTCGAGCGTTGGACCGCTGGGCCGAGCTGGCCCGGCCGGCGGCGGCCGCCAGTCGATACCTCGGCCTCCGAATTACACGAATTCGAGGTCCTCCGCGCGTCTAAGCGCCCTAGATTCTACACGTTTCGAATTCTAATAGCCTCGGTCTCTAGATTCCCCGGATCCCGAATCTCTTGAATCGCAGCCTCCTTGGACCGTGTGTAAGTTCCTCGGATGCTGGATTCTGGATCTTGGGTCACAAACCCCCCCCACGAATTCCGACTTTTCTTTCATAATTTGTCAATCTCGCGGAGATAATATAGCGAAAGAGGTCTCGCTTCGCGAGAGAAGGTCTCTCTTTTCCCCTCGGACATTTAACACTTTCTAAACTTGTCGAGCGTCAACTCTCGCGATTGCTCGTGGTGCGTGGTGTCTCATCACGCACGACAATACGCACGACAGGGACATACTTTTATGCTCGCGTTTATCGGTCCTATTTTTTTTTCATGAACCGACTATCTAGCGCAAACTATGTGACATAACGTGGCGATGGTGCAAGGCTGCGAGAGCGCACCATGGTGCGTGCATGCGTATACGTGTGTGTGTGTGTGTGTGTGTGTGTGTGTGTGCGCGCGCGTTGCGTTAGCTGTGCGTAAAAGAAACGGCAGCCGCGTAACGAGAGTGCTAATGAAGGATAGCCAGGTTCTTGCGCGGGCTTCTCCTGCGAGACCAGCACCTGTCCCTCCCTTCGCGCGGACTCGCGCTTTCTCCGTTTCAACAATCGTGCGCGTCGGATTCTCCCTGCCCTCCCGAATTTCTTCCTCAAGTTATTATCCCCGATGCGCGTCATTCATATCGCTCGCGAACATTATCCAATTATATCCAATTGAATTTTTCACTCGAACAAATGGAGCCACCGGCGTGCACGAGGAATCCCCTTCCCCCCCCTCCCCTCCCCTCCCCTCCTCCATAATGAAATCTTGTTCGTGTTCGATTAACTTCCGTCGAGATGCTACGACCCGAGAGACTCGCAGCCGGGCTCGCAATGGCCGCGGATCGGAGGGATCGTCGCGTCGCAGCTTCGTCCTGGTACCATCCGTGCATCATTCTTCGCGAGTGCAGCCGCGAGTCTCGAACGTTAAACTCGCTTACTCGAGCGTGCAGCGAGCGGGAGCGATAAAGCACGGCGGTTTCGGTGCGTCGTCGTCGTCGTCGTCGTCGTCGTCGTCGTCGTCGTCGTGAGAAAACGGCGCGCATTTTTAACGCGTGTCACGTCGGTACGCGCCTTTGCACACGCGCGTGTACACGCATACGCACACACGGCACACACGCACCGCGACCGACACACTGCGAAAAACACTAGCGCGGCTATTAATTCAGAGGCCGGAGCGGGGACAGAGAGAGAGAGAGAGAGAGAGAGAGAGAGAGAGAGAGAGAGAGAGAGAGAGAGAGAGAGAGAGAGAGAGAGAGAGAGAGAGAGAGAGAGAGAGAGAGAGAGAGAGAGAGAGAGAGAGAGAGAGAGAGAGCGCGGAGGCCGGCAAAGGAACAAAATAAGCGCGGCGCTCCTCCCGGCTCCTCGGGCTCTAAATAAAAGGAAGGAGAGGAGGTTTAAATAAAAGTAAATTCGTGTCGCCGCGGTCGCGTGAACTACCCGGGCCCCGAGAGGATATGAGCCGGGACCCTCTTCTTCCCTCGGAGGGAGTCCGCTCGCGGAGAGAACCTGTCCGACTGTCCGGATCGGCTTTCCTTCTCTCCTTTGCCGTTTCGCTCGTATCGCGCGGGCTTAACGCTTTTGCCGGATGTTATCTCGCGATCGCCACGGAGGACGGGACGGAAAGAGAAGAGCGGAGAGAACGTCCGGTGTGTGTTTCTACTATGTCGCCGGGAGATTGATAGATAAATGGACCAACGACGCTCGTGGCTTGCGATATGTCTTGCGAGAAGAAAAGAAAAGACGAGCGCACTTATTTGATTAATCGCGAGCTCCGGTCAATTTCGAATCGGGAGATTCCGGCTGGGATGCGACGATGCAAAAAGCGAGGATCTAGCCGAAATATTGAGAGTGTGTACACGAATTAAGTAACAGAACGTTACTCAGTAATAGATATTGTCAAGGTGGTCAACAGTGTGGTCAATTACGTTCGAACGCGGGAAAATTCTTCAATATTCGCTTTTGTTTACGTACTCGGTTGATTAGATAAATCGTCACGGCTAAATACTGAAAAAGTTTCGTTTCATCAAACTATAATCTCAAATCTCCAACTCATTTACGATTTTTCGACTCTAGATGATGATTTGAATATTACGAATTGAGTCTTTATTTATAGCGGAATATTTTTCTCCCAGAGAAACGGAATTGCTTGAAATTTTCTCTCTTGAGTATAGTATCTCTCTCTCTCTCTCTCTCTCTCTCTCTCTCTCTCTCTCTCTCTCTTCTCTCGGAATATCATCGTTCTCAAAATGCTTTTGTTTTCTGAGAATATCCTCGGCACACATCACTAGTTACAAATGATTTAATATTATCTAAGCGAGGCTGGTGCTGAGAAAAAGGAACATTGCTTTCCCACCGAGTCGGGAAAGACGGCAAAACACAGCGCTCGACACCCCACAGTGCACGGATGGGTGCTCGCCGAGGGCAGGAACACGCCTGACCTCCCAGCAGACAAATTAAAATGATACACAGGCGATTCCCTCGCGCTACTCGCGAAAATTTCTTCCTTGCCGTTGCGATACTATTTCAGGATACGCAGGTGCCGAGAGTAAAATGGTCCGTCGACGGTATTCTTCAACTTCTCGGAAAGGTCGCTGTCGGATTAAATCCGCAGATACAAATGGAAAGATTCGAGAATTGAATAATTCGAAGGACTCGAGAAACTCGTTATACAGAAATTCACTCGTACCCGAAAGAAGAATACGAAGAAAATTTTTCCAGTTGAGCACACGTCCATGCATTTTTTCAGAGAGGCAAACATTCCCCATTATTTCCACAAGCTACACGGGTTCATCATTGTATCGTTCAACCGACGATAAGCCGAATGAAGGACTACATTTTTGGCGGGGTAATATAATTCTGGCCGATTAATTTATACCGCAGTAAAGAGTATTCGTTTGCCGTAAAAGCGGGAACAGTCGCTGTAGGATACAAGCGGAACTTGTTATAAACGTTCGCGCAGTCGTTTTACCGAACACGCCGAGCTTAATGACCGCGGACGACGCGCAGGTCTGTTTTTAATTGCTTCGGACGACTCAAGTACCGCGGCGACAAGTCCCGAGAACGAGGTTATAAAAATGTGCCGATGGACCACTCTAGAAACGTGGGCGACCAGACGTATCCTATTAGTATATCTTCGACGGTTTTCCACTTTTACTATTAGCGACGGGTCTCTTACACGTGTCTCGTATCGTACGTAACGTAACGCACGTAATTAGAATTGTCCTCACGAGTGAAAACAATATAACTCTGTACCATCAGCATCACTTGTAATCGACATTATTCATTACTTCCAGAGATTAAATTTCAGGGGATCATCAGACGCGAGTGATAAAAGCTCATTGAAATCTCTACGGCGAGGAGAGAAAGGTTTCCAAAGATCCAAAGGGTTCCCCTTTGTTCCCCTTTCCGAAGTCGACTCGGAAAATCAACTTTTGACTTTCGGGAGTAATTCAGAATCGAGAAAAATCAAACTCACCCTGTCATACTGATGCGTCGCCGTGGCTGCCGGGAAGGGTTGAAAGGGCGCCGGCCTGGCTGGACTGTGATGGGCCGCGTGCGGATTGGCGTGGGGGTGGCTGTGCGGGGCCGCATGAGGGTGAGTCGGGTGCGGCGGCGGTGGCCGGTGGGTCTGGTAGAGGTAAGGATAATATTGATACATCACATCGGAGCAGCTCATCACCCCGCCCGGGCCCGGCACCCCAGAGCTGGCCTGCAGACTTGCGTACCCGAACGTCGCACCACCCTTTCGAACACCACCCTTTGGCTTATTCACCTCCGTCAATGGCGCGCCGCGGTCGGTTCAAATATCCGAGAGCATTCAGCTTTCACTAGATTCGTCGTCGTACAATTCGACACTAAGGACGATGCTTCGTGCCGCGGCACATTGCAGGCTCTGCTTCGACGTGTTGCTATTGTGGAGTTTTATCGACGAGAGAGAGAGAGAGAGAGACCTTCTTCGCTGACTCAGAGTCGCGGTGCACAATCGCGATGCCTGACAAATATCTCAGGTTAACTCAGTTGTATCCGTTAACTTATCGGACACATTAAGTTATCGGCCGCGATTAACGGTATTCAGTGTTGCCACGAGTTGGGAGTTGAGCGGCGTGTATCACTGCGAAGCAGAGTTTTACCGCTTCCTTAGTTTCTCCCGTATCGCTTTGAATTATGCAACGCGGTCGATTTAAATATTCAAAATTGTCCGAGATTCCAGAGTCCCTCGGCGGTTTAAGTCTATATACAGGAGCGATGTGGCGGTGGGAGGGGGGGGGGAGGGGGGTCGACAAACGTTCGATCTGTCGGTCCACCGTCGTGTTGCAACCGTCGTGTCAATGACTCTGTGTTTGCACACACAAATCTGAGAGACGCGCGCGCGTAATTGTGGAAAATTGGACGCTCGCTGAATGATCACGAGGTATTCTTGATAATCTTGCCTGGGTGTAAGTCCAGCCACTTGCGATATATCTCAGCACAGATAGGCAATAGCAGTACCAGTATTTCTCGAGATCACTGAAGCATGACGGATCACGCACGGATAAATTCTTCCAGATAGCCGAGACGCGCGACGCAAGAAATATACGAGCCGATCGCTCCTCTTCCTCGTTTCTCCTTTCACGGCGAGTACGTTGCGTGAATCCAAAAGGATTCAGGTTACCGTCATCAGCTGAGTATATCGAGTGACGTCATATCTCTTCAACTCACGAAGAACTTTACGAGCGATAAGATAAACGGAACCATTTAGGACTTTCCTTCCTACTATCGGACTACTGTCGGAGAGCGTGTACGTGTGTTTATCGAATGTTTTGCTTCCGGAATTTCTCTTCCCGAGGATTCTCCTCTTTTTGGATTTCTCAATTGACCACTGACTTTTCAACACTGCACTGTCGTCTTGTAAAACCACTTGCGACGGGGCACACAATCAATTCCACGACTTGCTTCAACAATATCCAATTGTTCACAACAGCTGCAAATTGCCCACAAGGTGGAATCCTCTGCAGTTTGCTGATCCCTTTTGCAGCTACTTGGGGACATTTGATCGACACTTCCACCTAGCTAATGAGAAGAGTCGCTGTCATCGTCCACGACACTTCATCTCGCGAACCCACTAGCTGTCCAAGACGGCACACATAACTCGTGTCATCGTTTGCGTCCCACTGATTCTTTAGACAAGTCTATTCTTGGAAAGGTCTTCTCCAGCGGGAGCCGTCCAATCACGACGCACGCGATTGCACACAACACGCAAGACAGGCGGTCCTCGTGAACGAGGATGACCAGTTGGCGAGCGAAACGAGCCACCCTCGCGACGTGAGCGGAGCGTATCGCCGCTGGTGGTGTGTCTCTCATGGGTGAACACAGACTGAACCCCCAGACACGATACCGTGTGTCACCCTCTCTCCCTAGTGCCTTGTCGCTGTCTTTTTCTAAGCCATTCCCGTCTCTGTTTACAAGCGGCGACGCATATCCTCTTCCCCTTTTCCGCCACCCTGACGACAGGTTTGTAGCAGGATCCGCCTCCTGGCAGTGCCGGCGCCGGCCAATCGCCGTGCCCGATCGTCAGGGCCAATCGCACTTGGCTTGCCACTACCACGGATCTCCCACGTATTGATCCCACAATGAACCCGACTGCAGCTGCGGTATTAAGAAGTTCGTACTCGGGTTAAACCACCCCCGCCTACCCCCACCGCTCCCTTCCCCACCTACGGCTCCTTCGTGGTCTTCATCCTCCGCTTCGGCCACCTTCCATCCCAGGCAACCATCCCCTGTAGCGAACATAATGAGTCTTAATTAACAGTTTCGCGGTGTTTTGGGAAGCTTAATTTGCCGCGGCGAAAGGGCAAGAGGGAGAAAGATAGAAAGAGAGAGACAGAGAGAGAGAGAGAGAGAGAGGGGGGGGAGGGGGGAGAGAAAGCGAGAGAGAGAGAGAGAGAAAATGTGGGTGGGAGGGAGGGAAAGGAAAGGGGCAGAAGATGGCGTCTTCAGGGAGGAATTCCTGCAGAAATGTTGTTCTCGTGGAAATCGCATTTTCACGCGACACAGACCGACCGACCGACCTACAGCCTATAGTCTTCAGGTACACCTGATACGATTTTCAGCACGAGTTTAAATTCGAACGTCACACCAGGTATATGACAAGTCACGCAAGTCGCGATAAATTAACGCTAATAATGGGTGACTGAAGTACAATATATGTGCGGAAAAATATTTTTCTGGTATTTTTTATTGCTTACAAATTCTGCTTAATTATACTTGCGCTTTTAGTAAAACTACTATAAATATTTACAGGAATAAATAAAAAAGTGTTTTAATTGGAAATATATCTAACTACATACATATATAAAGCCTCCCAGACAATAATTTCGTTCAACGACATCAATTCGTCATTTTCGTTGGTACATAACAAAACAAGACAGTCTAAATTTTACAGCTCTTGCCACCGACTTCATCCATTTCCTCGATTTTGAGTCCTAGCCAGAGTCAAAAGCTACCGCTTATAGTAATTTAAGGATAGACCTCGTGTCCTCTCGGAGCTGGCCAAAGCTGGTCAGAATCTCTGATAACACCGTTGTTGTCAAAGTTTGCCTGAGCGAGCTGGGGTTCGGTCTCTCTCCTGAAGCGGAAGCCACCGGTTATACCGAACGACGGGGAGACACCGCGACCTCCGCGACCCGGTTGAAGCTGGCCGGAACCGCTGATGAAGCCGTTCTTACCGAAATTCCTTTCAGCCTGGATACCAACGTGCGGTTGTGCTCGTTGTCCAGGTATTTTACTCACTCCGCCGAAAACGTCTGCCCTGCTACGGTCGTTATTCGCGATGTTGCGATTAAAATTGAGATCCCACGAAGGTTGACGATTCGGACCGCTCATAGGCTGAGTACCATGGAAGCTTATCGAATTTCTTTGGGGGTTGGCTTCCCTTCTGAACCGGAAGCCACCGTTTATGCCGAACGACGGAGAGACACCGCGACCTCCGCGGCCCGGTTGAAGTTGGCCGGAACCTTGGATGAAACCGTTCTTACCGAAATTCCTCTCAGCCTGAATACCAACGTGCGGTTGTGCTCGTTGTCCGGGTACTTTACTTACTCCCCCGAAAACGTCTGCCCTGGTGCGGTCGTTATTCGCGATGTTACGATTAAAGTTGAGATCCCACGAAGGTTGACGATTCGGACCGCTCATAGGCTGAGCACCTTGGAAGCTTATCGAATTTCGTTGGGGGTTGGCTTCTCTTCTGAATCGAAAGCCACCAGTTATACCGAACGACGGGGAGAAACGGTGACTTCCAGGACGCGGCTGAAGTTGGCCAGAACCTCTGATAAAACCGTTTTTGCCGATGTCTCTTTCAACCTGGATACCGAGGTGCGGCTGCGCTCGTTGTCCAGGTACTTTACTTACTCCCCCGAAAACGTCTGCCCTGGTGCGGTCGTTATTCGCGAGGTTACGATTAAAGTTGAGATCCAAAGTAGGTTGACGAGTCGGGCCGTTCTCAGGCCGAGTCGCTTGGATGTTTATCGAATTTTTTTGGGAATCGCGACGAAACCGATATGGCCCCGACTAAAAATTATATTCGTGAAATTAAAATTTTATTTTTTATCTGTTGCGACAGTATGTTGCCGAATCGTAATTTTTTGTTTTTCATTTCTACCGGATTAAGAATGTCTGGAGTACTAGTATTGTCGGATTTAATAAATTATTTAATTCATTACGTATACTCACAAATGAAGTGGGCCATTGGCTGTTTTCCTCTGTTTCAGCGATTGCGTATCCAACAACAACACATAATGTTAGAACTAGAGCGTGCAACTTCATTCTGACTAGTGATGACTGAGAGATCCAGTGATTGTTTACCGTCTCAGTGACAATGGGCTTCTGTGCCAATGTCGGAGAAGTCTCGTGCTTTTATGAGACGTGCAACGTACGCGATAACCTCTCACGGGACTTTACCGTGTCTTTGTTTATACAAGTGTATCTTTCAATTTGTCGCGCGACGGCAGCTGCTACTACCAACATGTCTCGCCGTTCTCATTAAGGGAATTCCCGCTCGCAAATGGCAATGCGAACTCCCGCGTCGATTACGCAGCATTCTATCCCCGTATCTCTCGTGTTATTTTCTTCTCGTTATCTCGTTTCAAGAATATTCATGATACGCGAAGCTAAATACATTCGCGTTTATGATGTTGCACTGTTGCTCAACTATAATTTTTGTATCATTAAGATAATGGTATGAGTTTTATACATATATATATATATATATAACGAAATTATTATTCTTGGGCTTGGGATATTTATGACGAAGATTGATGCGCTCTAATATTATAAGAAATATAGTACGTCCACATCAAGAATATTAAATATGCGTATCTTACAAATATAAATAAAAAGAAAATATAAGACGTGATACCAACAAGTTTTTTTTCTAAAGGAGACACTCAAAAATTCACTTATAAAAATTCTACACTTACATGTGCGTACTTAACTCTACTAATTTTGTAATTTTTAATAAATTTACCAAATTTGAGATTTAATATCTTTCATTAGAGAAACACAAAATTATATATATTTTCAATATATAAATAACCGTATATACCGTACATAAATTACATTTGTATTTGTAATTTGATTAAACAAATGAAAACGTATTCATATGTAAAACTTATTCTATTATCTTAATAATTGTGACGCGAACAAAGCGAAAAAATCCTATTGTAAAGTGACATCATTTTCAAGGAAACGCAATTGTGCGATTGTGCGCGACAGAATAAGTCAAATGACACGTTCAACGGCCGGGTAGCGTAGTCTTTTTGTTACCAGGGTTCCCCGGCGATAATGAAACGCGTGAGCTCAACTCTTAGGCGCACTGGCTTTCACTGGGTAATACCCAGACAGATAACTGACGCAACGGGAACCTTCGGGAGACCAGAGGTACATCCCCGGACGTGAAATTCGTATATAAGCAACCGAGATTGATCGAACAAGCACAGAAGTCACTTGGTACTTCAACCGAGAGCATTCACAACTATCCCAGAGGAATAGTCGGTGTTCACGATGAAGCTGCTAGTTTCGCTGTTGGCCTTATCATGCGCTATTGCATATACGAGCGCTGATTTACCGAGAGATCAATCGCTGCCGCAATCAACCGGACCGGTTCTACCGCATGTAAGTGATCGTCAATACTCCAACAAGTAATTTCGCTAATAAAATGATTAGGCCTCGAAGTTCACTTTACGTTCCTTTTTGAACGTAAAATCGTATTTTAGGTGAACAATTTACCTAACGATTCACGTCTTGTGATGCGAAAACGGAGCAAATAAAAACAAGTAATTTTGTTCTAACTAATTCATAATAATTATTATGAATGATGAGTAATCTTGTGAATGAACAAATATCTCTTCTAATAAATTTATGCCGCTTCATCTAACATCCAGCGCGGCAAATTATCGACGTGCGACTACACCTTCATTACAGCAGTGCGTTGCGCCGTAATTACCTCGAGCTTGACGTCACTCATAGAGAAACCTATCTCGCACTTGGAATTTCTGATTAAAATGGAATTTCTTACTTCAGAACGTCTCTTCTTACTAGACATATCAACAACACAAAAAACTCATTTCGCGAATTCTTGCGACGAAACTATATTTTCAAGTATTGATCTTTCTTTTATAGAATCCGCGTTTTCCACGTGAAGCCAACCCCCAAAGAAATTCGATAAGCTTCCAAGGTAGCCAGCCTCTGAGCGGTCCGAGTCGTCAACCTTCGTGGGACCTCAACTTCAATCGTAACATCGCGAATAACGACCGCACCAGGGCGGACGTTTTCGGCGGAGTGAGTAAAATACCTGGACAACGAGCGCAGCCGCACGTCGGTATCCAGGTTGAAAGAAACATCGGCAAGAACGGTTTCATCGGCGGTTCCGGCCAACTTCAGCCGCGTCCTGGAGGTCACGGTGTCTCCCCATCGTTCGGCATAAACGGTGGCTTCCGGTTCAGAAGGGAAGCCAACCCCCAAAGAAATTCGATAAGCTTCCAAGGTAGCCAGCCTCTGAGCGGTCCGAGTCGTCAACCTTCGTGGGACCTCAACTTCAATCGTAACATCGCGAATAACGACCGCACCAGGGCGGACATTTTTGGAGGAGTGGGAAAAGTACCTGGACAACGAGCACAACCGCACGTTGGTATCCAGGTTGAAAGAAACATCGGCAAGAACGGTTTCATCGGCGGTTCCGGCCAACTTCAGCCGCGTCCTGGAGGTCACGGTGTCTCCCCATCGTTCGGCATAAACGGTGGCTTCCGGTTCAGAAGGGAAGCCAACCCCCAAAGAAATTCGATAAGCTTCCAAGGTAGCCAGCCTCTGAGCGGTCCGAGTCGTCAACCTTCGTGGGACCTCAACTTCAATCGTAACATTGCGAATAACGACCGCACCAGGGCGGACATTTTTGGAGGAGTGGGAAAAGTACCTGGACAACGAGCACAACCGCACGTTGGTATCCAGGTTGAAAGAAACATCGGCAAGAACGGTTTCATCGGCGGTTCCGGCCAACTTCAGCCGCGTCCTGGAGGTCACGGTGTCTCCCCATCGTTCGGCATAAACGGTGGCTTCCGGTTCAGGAGAGAAGCCAACCCCCAAAGAAATTCGATAAGCTTCCAAGGTAGCCAGCCTCTGAGCGGTCCGAGTCGTCAACCTTCGTGGGACCTCAACTTCAATCGTAACATCGCGAATAACGACCGCACCAGGGCGGACATTTTTGGAGGAGTGGGAAAAGTACCTGGACAACGAGCACAACCGCACGTTGGTATCCAGGTTGAAAGAAACATCGGCAAGAACGGTTTCATCGGCGGTTCCGGCCAACTTCAGCCGCGTCCTGGAGGTCACGGTGTCTCCCCATCGTTCGGCATAAACGGTGGCTTCCGGTTCAGGAGAGAAGCCAACCCCCAAAGAAATTCGATAAGCTTCGAAGGTAGCCAGCCTCTGAGCGGTCCGAGTCGTCAACCTTCGTGGGACCTCAACTTCAATCGTAACATTGCGAATAACGACCGCACCAGGGCGGACATTTTTGGAGGAGTGGGAAAAGTACCTGGACAACGAGCACAACCGCACGTTGGTATCCAGGTTGAAAGAGACATAGGCAGGGACGGTTTCATCAGAGGTCACGGCCAGTTTCAACCGGGTCCAGGAGGCCACGGGATATCCCCTTCCGTTGGTATAACTGGTGGCTTCCGGTTCAGAAGGGAAGCGGAGGATGACGAAGATGACACGCAGCTCATCGAGGAGTATTAAATCTCACCGAGGAATATTAAATCTTATAGTTAAGTAGCGGCTATGTACATAGATGTGTAATTTCAGAAATTCTAATTCAAGCTCGTAATATTCGTATTAGCAACATTGCATTTATATGTAAACCAATTACGGACGAGTATTAGACTCATCTGTACTCAAGACTTGCGACATATGGAGGCTATCTCGTATCTTTAACAGGCAGCATGTATTATTTGACATTCAATATTTAAATAAATTAAATTTATTGAAAATTTTCTTTGCATTTATATCGATGATTTAGCGAGTCTCACTGCAAATTTCAATACCCGTCCCCGATCTTGAAAATTTCTACTTCGATCAACAGATCGAATTTCCGTTAATTGATCCCAATTCCCACTGTTGTATGAAATACACTCGATCACTGATCAAGACCGAGAAATAATGTCAACGGCAAACACTTGACCGTATCAAATCGCGACTAACGTCACCGGCCGATGTCTAATCTCGCGTGTAACTTAGCAGGTTCCGAGCTCTCCGGACGACAAGCGAATCCAATAAGCCTCGACATGCGTGGCGAGGGCGCAGGGCTCTCTCGCGGGAGAGCGCGGGTCATGACGATTAAACGTTTTCGCCTGCGCCAGAGGAACAGTAGTCATCCTGCACGTGGCCACTTTGACAATAGAGAGACAGTGCGGGGGGTGGCTGGCGCGATGTACCCCCCGCTGCCTAATAGTTGGGCATTAAATTTGTCAGTGATATTGCCGGATAGGGTCGCCCTTGCCCTTCGCCTGGATCATGAATGGCGCGGGACGTCTGAAATATGCCGATGCGCGTGCTTTCATCCCCTTGGCGGCGTCGCGAAAGGGGATGTGGCTCGAATAAATGCCGGACAATGGAAAGCGGGACGCAAGGACATCGCTCGAATGAACCCCCGCGCTGCGAGGTGTTGTTCTTTTTAGCCACGTGTGCTGTTTGAAAAACTAACGGTGATCCAGTTATTTGACGCTGATATCGTGTGATGTGTGAATAGGGATGTAAAATATATAATCACGGAAGTGATAAGCAAAAAGAATTCTGGGAAAGATGCGGAGGAGTGACTGTTTTAGAGTTTGCATGTCTAAGATTCGCGAGGAACTTGCGAACATTTGGGAATATCGCAGTATACGCGCAAATAAACAAACGTAAGAATTTTCAAAGATTTATCAAAGTAATTATCAAAGTATTTATCAAAGTAATTTCGAAATAATTTCGGCACATACCGCGAGGAATCCTCAAAGAATAACTCTCGAGCTTTAAATTGCGAGAGAAATAACTCGCGAACAAGAGTAATCATTAACTCCGCGGTTCGAAGTGACTCGCTTCGAAGCAGCTTTCACTGTGGACGAGGTGAATTACTTTCGACGAGCGATTCGCTCCCGGATCGTCGAAGAAAAGACACCGCGATCCGGAGATGCTGTAAATCGCGTTTTTTGACAGATCGGCCGCGACGCTCTTTCGCCGGCGGAGTCCCGCGAAAGGAGATTGCCAGGAATGCCGAAATAGCAAATTAAGGAATTCCGAGAGAAGCCGCCCCCCTCTCTTTTCCGCTTCCGCGGATCGTCCTTACCTTTTCTCCGATCGCATTTCTTCAAGGTCCAGTTTATACTAACATAAAGAACTTACAATCAGCTTCGTTTTAACGTATTACTCGATTGTTGTTGTTGGATTGTTGTTGTAAATATTTCCAGTGTAATTTCCCTATTAAATGACACAATTCACACAAAGTATACTTCTCAATTCTTACAATGTTACATGATTTCTTGTGATGATACAAGACGAGAAGGCCGGTCCGGGAGATATCTTTATTGTTATAACACAGACTAACAATATACTAATACAACAGTAACGCTGATTTATCGACGAAGAATACGAGAAACTTACAATCATAGGCTTTGCCGTCGTATCAATAATTAATCATCGTGTTCTTCTTAAAATGCCCGAAAGAAAAATCTGAAATTTAATATTTATTGCCAAACAACGACGAGGACTTTTAAAGATTATAAAAAAAAATATATATATATGTATATAGAATTTTCGAAATGAAGTCGTGATTTTATCGACCGTGTTTCCTTTTTTCATAAGATACTTTCTTATTGTAACGACGCTTTTTGCGCTTCGTTGCTGGCTTTCATTTCCTGTTCCCTCTTCTCCTCCTCTTGATCCAAATATTTGTCCCATTTGTCCATTCGCGCTTCTATCTCCGCGTCAGTCTCCGTAATTCTTTAAAAAACATTTTCGACAATTGTATTAATTATATTATACGGTTTTAATTATCAGGAGTGTGTAATTTGTGCGTGATTTAATAGTATATAAACGTCGAGAGACGTTTGGAATTAGCAGTGCAGTGTCTGGTGCTGATTGAACGAGCAGACTTACCAACACTGAACAAGTGGCTTGGGTAAATCAATTCACTTGATAAACGAAAAATCGGAATGAGAAAATTTTCCGAGAGTGTCGTTTGTATTCGTTTTCGTAATATTTCTTCTTTTGTGTGAATATAATTTCAAAAATAAAACAAAATAATGGCAATGAGCCACGAGTAAAAGATATTTATATTCCTCATTGACTTGGTAGTCTGCATCAGCAACCATCGGTAGCACCTAGCCTGAAGCCGGTATGGTAGAAAGCGGCAATATGCCAGAACTTACTTATACTTGGTCTTGCCATCCCAGATCTCCGCCGAGATCTTCCTTTGGCTAAACCAACGGCCGTTCAAAAGCTGCACGCAAGCTTGCGCCTCTGCCGGCTCTCGGAATGTGACCTGCGCTACTCCTTCGGGATGTCTCTGGGAAGAGAAGCAGCGAATCGTAGGCGAACCGTTCTGTTTTACTTCATCAATCTTTCAAAACGGCAAGCTCTCACCACGAAAGTAAATGTTGATGTGAAAAAAATGAGATAAAAGATGTGAAAAAGTTGATGAAGCTTACTATTTGAACTTCTCCTACGTCAAATCTGTGCCGATCAAGATTGTTACATCTAGATGGCAGATCTTGAAGATCTACTTAGAAATCCGTCTCAATAATATATTATATTCTCTTCGATAGTTTCTTATTCCGCCGATTTCTTCGTGGCTACTTCTCTCACGTTTAGACGCGTAAGATCTCGATCATTCCATTCGATAAATAAAAATGAAAAGATGAAACTTCCAAATACTAGCTCGTGCTCTGTTTCTAAAGCTGGTTCTAATTCGACGTCGGAACGCGTCTCGGTCGAAAATATAATTTAGACGCGACGTCTAAACCCGCGGTTCCTTTTTCTTCTCATTTACGGAAGAGCCGTGCGGGGGCGGCTTGGAATTCCACAAAATTATCAGCGGATTCCCTTTGATCCATCGCTTTAGTGAACGTATATACTTTACATCAAGCACGACAGCAAAGGGCCATGATTCACCGAGAACACGGTGACAGTAACACGTGCTCGCAGCACGCAGAGCGAAGAGAAAAAAGCGGCAGTGAGATGGGGAGGAGCCTATGGTAAATTAGGTGACGGAAAATGAAGTTCCGCTCGTGGCTTTTGAAGCCGTTGCTATTTCTCGCAGCCGACGGCCAACACGGAAAGAGGAATATACGACATATAGAACGGATATATAGGTAGCTATTTGGTAGATTGTCGTTTTCTTAAAATTAGAATGCGTGTTGCAACAATCACGGTATCACGAGGCATGACAACACTCGAGATTTTTAGTGAGTCCTTTTCAGACAATACAGACATAAACACAAGACAACAAATTTTATATTTCAATTAATATCAAGACGAAGTATGGGGAGGGGAGGGAAAGCGAGCAAGAAAATACGTATTAACGCAAAACAAGTATATAAATGCAACGTGTGACGGTAAAAATACGCAGATGAATAAAACGAGAGAAACAAGGTGACGTGGAGAGAAGGGAGTCGACACGTCGTCCGGATGGAATGTACTTTGACATTGAATAGTTTCACGGCTGAGGCGCCGAGACTAGGAGTGTCTCTCTCTCGCCTCTCGCCAATTTATGGGACTAAGGGCATCCTCCCTTTCAGGGGGGCGTTCTCTCTCCACTCTCTCGTCTATTCCGTGAAATTCGGCTGCTAAAAATACTCGACAGGACACTCGAAGGAAGCCCCGATCGCTTTCAGTTTAAAAAAGAAACAGCAATTTCGACATGACGGTCTCGAGTGCTTTAGGTGTGTGTCGAGAATCTGCGAGCTCGATCGTGCTCGTAATATGCATACGCGCGGCTTCTTCTTTCTCAGCGCCGAAAGGATTATTGACTATTAATCATAGATCAGGTTTCACGCGTTGAGTGGCATTTATGTAATCGCATGTGCGCAAAAAAGCAAAAGAAAAAGAAAGGAGAAAAACTCACGTCATAGATAACAACTTTCCTGACGTCACCGCACTTGAGGCACTCGGATCGGATGTCCTGCTGGTATTCCAGTAGAAGCTGGACTTCCTTGTCGAAATCCTCTGGCGCGAAAAGGTTCTTTATAACGACGACCCTTTCGCACTTCAACGGCTCTCCTCGCATACGCTCCGGTCGCCAATCGAATAGCCTGCAAGCGACGAACAAACGGCACCGGGATAATGAGAAGATACGACGATAAAAGTCGACTGCGTTTAAATCGGTCGAACGAGTGCCGACTCGCCGACCCGAGAGAGAGAGAGAGAGAGAGAGAGAGAGAGAGAGAGAGAGAGAGAGAGAATCCGTTTAAATCTATACGCATAAATTCTCATTAACAACTACGATATTCGATGCTGTTAACGGTGTTTATCTACCGTTTTAACGGTCGCGCGAACCGATCGCAGGCATCGGACCAGCTGATGTGACTCTGCGACTATCGAGTCTCCGAACTGCACGGTATCACGTCAATTCACTGCTGCCATTATTGGAAGTGACATTTCTTAATGGCTAAAGACGCCGACAAACGGCGCTGATGCAGCACAAACGGTCGGTACCAAGACGCACGATCGGAAGCGAGTCGTCATCCGAGCCGAAATTTTGACGTGCGTCGCGTTATTTAATGTACGGTATTCTGATTAAATCGTCCTATCTACGTGAGTGTCACTGCTAGTGTGCCACGACGGAGCATCCAGTAGACGGGATGGTGTGAGAGGAAGTCAGGACGATGAAGGAAGCAAAACTCTGGGATGCGGGCAACGATACATTATATACCATAATACGTCAGATACATTATTTTCTTTTCTTAAAAAGTTTTTATTAACCGTTTTAACGCACATCTTTTTTTTTCTAATTTCTTTCTCAATCTTCAAACCCTTTCGAAATTTTTAATGCCAATAAGAACACAAAAAGATAGACGAAAGGAAAGTTTTTGTTTTATCTGCCCATTCTATTTCTGTAATTGCGAAAACAGTGTATAATTGATACGTCGTTTATTGAAATTAAGAGCAAAAATTAAGTACAGAGACAGGATACGGGGGTAACTGATTATTAGATGATTTTGGAATAGTTTTTCTATATCGATACATAAAGAAAACAAGTCCTTCTTCAAGTTTGACGAGAACGTTGCGGTGCGAATGCGGTGGAAGTGAAAAATTTCGATTCGGACAGCCGTGAGAACCGTCGCAATGACCGTCGATAAATCGTGGCTCACGACTCCTTCTCAGAATGACGAAGGAAATAATACCGAAAGACAGAGAGGGGAGACGTTGCAGTCACGTCGATTTACGGGTGTCGAAAGAGCGCGTTGCCGCGAAGAACACTTCCGGCCGGCGTACGTGGGCCCGCACGTTCGCCAATAACTGGTTTTCGCAAAGTTCAGGGCGTCGACCCTGTGCTCGCGCGACCTACGCCGGATAACGAGACGATAGGACTAACGATGAAGGCAACAAAGACGCGTCATGAGTGCAACAATAGAATGAAATACGATACCGCGAGAGAACGATAAGATCGATATTAACGAATAATCCTCATCCGTGAAACGACACGATTTGGCAACGTTCCGTCTGCAAAACTTGAGGCCCCCACGACGTTCGATTATGATTCCTAATCCAACCATGATTGTACCTGAATTCAATTATCATTGCTGCGAGAGAGAGAGAGAGAGAGAGAGAGAGAGAGAGAGAGAGAGAGTTTCAACGAATAATCAAGCGTTTTATTTTTCACTCTTTCAGTACTACCAAATGAAAAGACGCTCAAATTCTCTCTCTCTCTCTCTCTCTCTCTCATTTTCCTTCTCCCTCGTTCTCACAATGAAACGATCGCAACAACGTATCTCAAGATACGACAAAGTGTCAATGGCTGCGTTCAGCAGAACAAAGTGATCAGTGAGCGCTTAGTGACTATTGTCTGTGACTGGAGCATTCTTTTAGATTCTTCATAGACCCAGAAGTATTTACCAATCAAGAGCGAGAATAGCGACTAAGCGCTCACTGATCATTTTGTTCTTCCGAACGCAGCCAATGTCGTTCAGCACAATCGCGTGCTTCGATTAGGGGTTTAAAACCGCAATCTCTAAGAGTCCGGTGTACCCGTATAATTTTGGGCCGGTCTGTATGCCGACACGCTAAATGCGGGTAATCGACGTGCGCAGCTGCCTTTGCCGGAACCGCAAACGCCAAGCAGTCTGGTGGCTGCAAACTCGGAGCCGATGTAGCGGTATAATTATAAAAGCCTTTACCCACAACCGCGCGCCGTGCGCCGCATACGAGACACACCATCACCGGTGCGGTGTATCGCAACGCCGAAAAAATTGCGAGATATCGCGAGTGATGGACGCCAGGCATCGAGCGCATCATCACGAGGCGCATTCGGACGCCGGATCTCGGCCTCGTCTTTACGTTTTAACAAACCAAGTCGCTCGCGACATCGCGGTGCGTAGAAACCTTAATAAGATACACACGCGCGGTGGCGGATGCGGAGCGCGAATGAAACATATCTTGATCCCTCGAGGGTCTCGCGGGTGAAAACGCGAGCGAAAAGGATATGAATGGGCCGAGGAGAAACCGAGGAGAAACGCGAGTGTCTCGATTTTGCAAGCCCAATTTATACGGCACGTCGTGTGTGTACGAGAAGAAACCAACGTCGCACGCCTTAAATCAGCATATCGTGACGAACGCATTCGAATGGCGATGAATGTTCATTCGGACTCGATTGTTCAAATGCTGATTATTTGCATTTGCATTCGTCATTTCTCCTCCGGCATTGTGGGACCTGATGAAGAGAGATAAAGAGAGAAAGACTCACTTTTCCTGCATCTTCTTCTGCCGTTCCTTGTCCTTTTTTTTCCGCTTCGGCTTCAACCCCGGGTCGTATTCACCCTTCATTTGGAACTTTGCCCTTTGAACCGATAGCGTTTTCCCGCGAATTTCTGAACCGTCCAGAATCTTTAGCGCCAAGTCCACTGACTCGACCTAGAACATTCAGTTAAAAAATCGATCACAGACACGTCGTTACGGTTCATCGGAAATTTAAACGCGAAGCAGACAAGCGGACACCGCATCGAGACACGTTTCTGACGCGTCTTATACTGAAAGTAATTAAAACGGCGCGTAAAAAACGGCAGCGTTAATAGGCTGCAGTTCCTACTTATTGTGCCAAAGTAATTGAGTGCCATTGTTACGCCCCGCAGTGTGTGGGTGATGAGACCGTAGTAGGAATTCACGAACAATATAAATACGTTTTATTAACCGGTCACGCCCATGACAATCATCGAAAAAAAAAAAAAAAAAAAACAAATTGCGGCTTACATGCAAAAGGTTTTAGTCCTGGATTTATGACATGGGCGTATTGCCCATTTAATAGCCATTAAACGAAGCGGATCGGTCCTTTCATTATGCAATCCGGCCTTTCGGCCGAACCTGTCGTGTTTTGTCGAGACATCGCTCGCGATGTCGTATCTGATGTAGTTTTTCATTTCGACGCGGTCGACGCGTTAGCTTGCGAAAAGGAAAAAAAATCTAAAATAAAGATATTAGACAGAATATGCTATATGAATAGACAAGATCGTCCATTCATAAGATCCAATTCAAATGATAGATAAAGTTTAAGCATCAGCCCGAAACTTTTAAGCCGATTTAAGTTAAGACAGTTAAGATATATTAATAGATCTTTGTATGAACACTAAAGACAGTTTCAAAGACGCTTCGCAGAGTAGACGCTTCTCTTCCGTAGAACTTCTCGTTCGAAGCTGTAAAACCGTAATAAATCTTATCAACTCGATAAAGTTAAAGGCGTACGTAGAGCGTCTTCGCGAATTTCAAAATTAATATTTTCAGTCGCTGCGTCATCGTTTGCCAGTCGTATGACAGAACGCGTGACAGAAGGCGTGTGATATCGGAAATAGAGAAGCCGTTCCGGTAGTGCAACGATGTCAGACTTATTTACGAAAGCCCGTAAAACGCGAGCCGCTTAGGGCAATTTTAACCGTGACTTCACGTCGTGCGTGGACGAATACTGGAAATAGGACAGGAAATAAACGACGATGCTTGTCAACTCTGCCATTCGTCAAAGAGAGAGAGAGAGAGAGAGAGAGAGGGGGGGGGGGAGAGAGAAAGAGAAAAAGGCGCGGGAGGTCAAATATTAATCAATGGGTATACTCAAGTAACATCGTAAATTGAGAATCGCACAAGAGACATTTTTCTTAAAACAAAAAAGAAGCTTGTCAAAGGAAAGCACGTCAAGGCATTCCGAAATGCGAGTTAAACAAAATCCCGCGATTAGTATGCGTTTCTCGCAATACTTTTCGTGTGAGATAAGCACAGCTGGCCCTCGTTTCACATGCATCCGCCGTGATGATAATACGCGATGATGCAACACGTGACCAGAATCGCGAATGCCTAAATAACCATATGGAGCGTTCCCGACACGAATGACGCAACGATCGCGAGACAAGTCTCCCTTGTAACGATGACCTAAAAAATGACTCGTCCGATATCTCGAAGATCGAGAAACCGAGCGGGGGATATTCCGGGAAGTCTTTAGAAGCGTTCGCAATGATTTACCGCGTCGACCCACTTAAGCAAAATTCCTAGGTCCGCGGCAATCCATCGTCTCCTCCCCTGCTCTCTCTCTCTCTCTCCCTCTCTCTCTCCTCTCTCCCTCTCTCTTTCTTTTTGCCATTCTACCGAACGGTCGGAAGCGAAAATAACGTTCGAGATTCCAGATACGTTTGGCCGTCGCGCGAAATCGTTGCGTTCCTCCGAGCGAGAGTTCATGACAGCTTCTACAAAGATCTCACACGCACAATCTCTAGAGCGACAGCTGTTTAAACAATTTTCGCAACTCTGCACCGATCAGCGCACGAGAGCTGCCCTGCATTTAAGGATACATGTCCATACGGCAAACAAGACTCTTGTACATGCGCCTTAAGGACCTGCAGACATAAAGGGCCTGGCCGTTCCTTCGACATGCATCATCCTGCGACACCCACGCGCCAGACAGACTCAAGGCCACACTCTTTTTCTTTCGAGCCGTCTCGCTTTCGTTTATTACCCTTAACTTCTGACGCAAACAGAAAGGCGGCACGACCGCTGGCACAGGATTACCTCCGCGGGAGACTTTTTTCAAAGCGATTTAAATAGATTCTCCTATCTTGATTTCCGCTTTTCTTCTTTTCGAATACACACGTGTGATCCATAATAATAATAATAATAATAATAATACGTTAAGCTATTTCACGCTTCGCGTATAAAACGCCGTATCCCGTCCAGCTTTAGCTTCGTTCAGTTTCTCTTCAGATACACGACAAAGCGTTTGGCACGTACGGGATGTCAAGGAAGTGGTTGTCGCACGACCGTTAATTACCTTCCTCCTCCGGCGAGAGATTAGCTTCGTGGAAACGTTTGTTTTAAACCTGATTTCGCAAACAGGATTAAGGGAAGTGGGGAAGTATGACCGCACGCGCGTTGACTAGATGACATGTAAACTGCTAATCTACGCGTCTAGAGACATAGACTATCGTTGTTCGCGCGTAAACGTCCAGCGGTGATTAAAATGCTGCTTTTATGGGAATGATAGCAGTGGATTTCGTGGAGGCCGTAACGACGGCCGATGAGAAACAGGACTCGACTTATTGTCAGCTCACGACCACCCAGACTCGGCAGGCTCCTGTGGTCATCTCGCAACCGCCTATGTTAGATCACTGCAATTACTATGCCCCTCGTATCCAGTTCACGTTAAATTACACGCGTTATTCAGTCGGTCTATACGTAACACGTTACCATCATCAGTGGCGCGCGGTCGTGTGTCTCCGGGAATATTCTCTCGTCCGAATTCATCGGCGTGCCCTCCTCGCATCAATATCGACCCGGCAAACAATGAAGAACGAGCGACAATGAAGTTTTCGCGATTCGCCTTTCGTCGTGCCTTTCGTAATTTGCTGTATCCAACATATTCGACGAACCATTTCGTTTCGCGCGTACCCGCAGCTGCGCACTAAGAATGCATAAATTAGAGAATTACGTGACAGTTGGCGAAGGTGCTTCCTGATAAGATTAGCTTCTCTGAATGTACACATCACGGCACGATTTCCTTAATGACTAATGCCCGAGCGCGATCGTAGACGCGATTTGACGAAACGCCGATTTAACGAGGCATCCCACCCAGCTGTTTCAACAAGATGATCGTATTGCAGGCGTATTACTACGAGCGACGACGATACGTCGAGAATGACGTCGGAAGTGTACATCGATCGATGCCTGCAACATTGATTAATAACGCGGCCGACGCGATCTCGAGACGCCATGGATCATCATTATTGCGTGATGTCGCGCTTTTAACGCGCTTCGAAATGGATACTGACGTTCCTCTAAGCAACTATAGTTAGACGACGTCTATTATCATTAGCGCGCTGGCGTCCGGCCAAATTTCTCTTCGGGATGCATTAAATACCGCGACAACGCGCGCAACAAGAAAATTCATTGAAGGCGGCCAGTCGGGAAGAATACCTTCAGCTACGAGAGAAAGAAAGAGCTCACATTTTTCAGGATCAATCATACAAGGAGGTGAGGAGGTGTGGTTTCTTTCAACTCTCCGCAGTACTTGACGACACTATTTCACATAGCAGTCGGTCTGGCTTCCGTGATCGACGGGACAAGTTGGAGTGTAAAGCTAAGCTAAGATATGCGCCGACAAGAACGCTCGAGACGCTCGCGCTCGGGCAATGACAGTCGATAGGAAAGAAAATCTCCGACGAGATGATGATATCGAGCATCGTCAGTGTCGGATTTTATCTCAAGTGCAAGTGTAGAAGTCTTCTATCGAGTGAGCGCGCGCACGCTTGATGCGCGTTCCGCTTTATTAATTTGTATTATGGTTCTTTTAAACGCGAAGACTCACGCGCGGGCTGACGATTAAATGATAAGGATTAAATGATTCCGTGTTGCGGAACGGGCGCAGTTGAGATCGCGTTGATTTGAGGACGGCGCGGACTGACGTGAACGTCTGTATCGCACGCAACGTCGATTCAAAGCCCGAGGGGCAGACTGAATTATCGTCTGAATGATTGTACGGTTGGCGCTACGCCTACGCTATTGACATTTAAGATCGCGGTTGTCCCACTAATTTGCATCGCGCGAAATTCCACGGATGAGTCAGCCAATTGCGCCCGACGATCGCGCATGCATACTCCATGGCCGATTTACAGTTACGGCCCGCCGAGTGCCGTCATCGCGGGAAACGCGAGCCGAATTTTTCCTACGGCTTAATTCGCCCCGCGAAATCGCCGCAGTGGGAAAAGCTCCGATCCGCGGACGTTCGACCGGATCGAACGGTGAAAAGCCCGGCCGTAAAATAGCTGTTTGTAGCTAGATAACGCGTCCGTTTGAGTTACGATAACAACGTTCATTAAGGAGTGTAATCCTCCGCGTTTGTTAGATAGAACGTCGCAGCGTAGCTGAAAGCGCGATATCTCGAGTGGTGGTATAATCAGAGCCAGCTCTGATTTCTCTTGAGCAGCGTATTTCGGGATCCCGTTTCACATTGCAGATAAAGGCCGAGGGAGTTGCACAGAATGTGCCTTGAAATAAATTAGAACCCTATAATCGTGCGATCTCCCGACAAACACGCTTGGGAAATAGATCACGGATTTTCACGCGTCGCGAATCGATGGGAAAGACAGACGCGCGCTTCGAGCGCGACAATTTTCATCAATTTCTCTCTCTCTCTCTCTCTCTCTCTCTCTCTCTCTCTCTCTCTCTCTCTCTCTCGCGGAGCATACGGGGCGACGTTCTGTCGTCAAAAGTATTTGATATCACATCGGCAAATCTCCGTAGCTTCCGACCGCGACCGCGACCTCGAGCGATACATGCCCGCAGCGCTCAACAGTTTCCAAATCAAAGCCTCAGAGAATATCGTCGTGATAAAACTCCTCCCCCCACCCCCGTATTAGACGCGGTGTGTCCTCTCCTCTCCTAAGGAGACGACACACCGAACGCGAACGACGGCCGCGTATATACGCGGCACATTTTGCGAAACCGGTTTCCGGAATTCCATAAGGTCTGGAGTGCACGAGTGCGCACGAGAGCGCTCGTAAAAATCGTCGCTTCTTGTCGTTTTTGCGGACGCGGACACGAAAGCACCGCGCGCCTGTTACCGCCGGCGTGATTAGGAACTGTTAACGCTTCGGTGTATTGAACTAACGAACGGCGGCGGCGTCGTCGTCGTCGTCACTGGAAATTACGATCCTGCAAATTGCAAATTCGCGCCGGCGAGCGAGCGTGCGTGCGTGCGTGCGTGTGTGCGTGCGTGCGTGCGTGCGCGCATGAGGAAAAAAATAGCAGAGACCATAACAACACGACTTATGAATGAATATGAGCGTCGCGCCGACACGACGGGACATCATCTGCCACTTTGGCTTTGCCTTGACTCCTCGGCCATCGCACACTCCACCGAGAATACACCGAGAGATGTAAGGGAGTTCTATCTAATTTTGCTCAACGGCGGATGAAGACCGCGAGCGGTCATCTCTGAGAACACCTTCTCCTGCCGCGGTGTACCGGATGTGTCACAACCCTTACGGTATCGAGTTGGAACGACACACCTGACCTTCCTGATCGCTCCAAAAGCTCCACTGCTCGCTTCCTTTCGCGGCGAACGCACGTGGAAGAAGAAAGAACGTGCGTCCGCTTGTAAACCTAGTCGGGACGGTCTCGAGGCGACCGTGCTCTCTCGTCGGCGCGGGCGGTGTTTCGATCGCAGCGACGTGCGAAAGGTGCAGCGAGCGACGTGTCACTCGCATTCGAAAATGTGATATCGCGGGGGCAAAAATTGCAATTCGCGAGCGGGCAAAAACGCAGAATTCCACTTAAATAAGCGAGCTGCGCCGTTTACGCTCTGAGTACTGAAAGATCTATTCTGGAATGTGTGCGAGAAGGGCGCGGCAAATTCAGAAATTCACGCGTCGACGAGGCTGCTCGAGCGTGAAAAAGTGAGCCGCGCTTTGCTACGATCTCGCTGACTTGACGCGAGCCCGGAAAATATCATACTGACGTAATCATATTGTCGTATGGTGACGATGATTCCCGCGCCATAAACATGTGACCGCCGCGCGCTGCATCAATCTCCATAATGCCTGACGCAATATCTAGAATTACTTGAATCTGTCAATCGCTTCGTGATTTCAGGCACGCAGTCATCAACCCACCCCAAATTGCAATTCCGCGAATTGCAGCATTCCCCCGATGTACCTTTCAAAGCATGAGGAATGCGCAAATGAATTGCCGTCATAGTAGTTTGAACATTACCTCGCCTGCTGCTATCACCCACGAAAATGCAACTCGTGTAATAAAAAACGAAATTAAATTCGCGCTTTGATCTCGAGCGCATAAAATGCGCTCTCTAATTCCGACATAGTTGTGCCGCTTTCACATGCCCGACCCTTCAATTTACCCCGCTGCATGAGACGCATACGATATTCACGTTTGATAAATAAATAATTAAATAAACAAATAAATAAAATAAATATATACGTATAAATGATAAATTGCAAATAAATGCAGTTACATTAACTCGTATTATTATATTAAACCTATTATAACCTTTGGAGCGATGGAAAATGTAGCGTTGCTGCTATTTTATACGTTCTCATACGATACGCGACGAAAAAGAAAAGAAGAAAGAACGAAACGCGGCCCGTGTATAAATTATGCAACCGTGATAGCGACGAATGTGTGCATGCATGTAAAAGCGTGCAACGATTATCGCCAACAGTGACGCATTTTGTCGCAGAGTGATTAAGTGAAACGAAACGCGGATCGCATTTCCGATGCGCCACGCACCGGGTAGTTCCGAGAGTAGGCGCGTAGGCGTCGCTTTCTCCCGTTAATTCAATTGTTCATCTGCGATCATCTCCGCGTCCGCGGCGGCGCTTACCGCTGTGAGTAACGATTGCCAAATGTTCCCGAGCATTAAGTCGGCTCAAGATTTGGCCGTCGCGTCGCGTTCTCAGCCCGATCGCGTTATCTCCCGATTGTTTTCCGGCCGATTTTCTATCCCGGGGATTCCCGTTATCACATTTTAATCAACTGCATTTAGACGTCAACTCCCGAAAGATACTATCGGACAAACAGACGTTAATGCATCCAATTGGCAGCCAGCCATTCAACGGAAACACTCGTCTGGCTGGCGTAGCGATATTTTAGAAGTAGGTGTACTGCGCCTCATTTGAGGTCGTCACACTTTTACGACATCGCTATCGTTGTCGATTATCGTGGTGTCTCTATGCAGATACCACGAATTTTAATTCACCGACCATCGAAATGATCGCGTTTCACACGCCGATGATACCGATACCGAACAATCGCGCGAGCGGCGTATAAACGGATATTTGCGAGACCATTGTTCGTTTTTGTTCGATTTTACGGCGACGATATCGAGTACTAGAGTTCTAGAGAGCTCCTCAGCTTTGTTGACACGCAATTTCGCGAGCTGTCGACGCAGCTGCGTGGAGTTTGTTCAACAATTCCTGTACCGTTGGCGCGTAATTATCGCACGCTCTACGCCTGCTAATTTTGCGTATCCTTGAGTCCTAAGGCAGCGCGCGGCATTATGCAAAAACGTGAATAGAAATTGTTGAACATCCGCGAGAGTGCGTATTTTACAGGCGCACGGTACACGCACGATAAATTCCATCATTTCGAAATTTCCTCGAAAGATCAAGGGTGACACTCGACGCCGGGGCACGGCATGGGAGAATGCTCGCTAAAGGAGGCGCAATTGTGAATTTGTCGCACAAGTGAGAGTAAGAAGCGACGGAGCGGCCCCAAAAGTGATCCCGGTGCAAGTCGGCGCGGAAACGCGCGACGGAAATAAAAGCACCGTCCTCTACGCGAAACGGACGTTTCTTTTCGCGACAATATTTGCGAACAAGACGGCTGCTCGCGAAGCGCGGACGAAAAAAGCGCGGATACAGCGATATAGCCCGCGTAGTTACAGCCACGAATAACTTGAGCGCGTGCAGTATTCGCGCCTGGCAGAAGCGGAGTAACGGCAGACGGATTTTCTCTATGACGGATTCGTGGCCCCTCGGGTCCAGAAAATGATCGAGGTAGCATCTGGCGATAGGGGAGGCGCGAGAGAATTCCGCTCGAAAGCTCGGAGCGTGAAGGTACGCGCCGAGCGGAATGGAAGCGGCGGCTTCAGTCGCCCGCGAACCTCCGCCGAAGAACGTTCTCCACGTCGTCGTTCTGAGTCGACAACGTGGTCGCCCGCGAGCGACCTTCGTCGATCGAACGCGCGACGATCTCAGATCTCGCGGGAACAGAGAGAGAGAGAGAGAGAGAGAGAAGGGAAGGAACGAAGGGTGTAAAAATCGACAAGAGGGAACCGGCTGATTTTCTTTTACCGCAGCGCGACCTCGCGAGTAACGCGAGGCGGGGATCACCGATGTTGTTGAGAAGCCTCGGTAGCGAGGCGAGGTTCAAGGAACGAGAATGAGGACGATCCTGAACGCGTGTTGCGATCTCTGTGTCGACTCGGGCGAGTAAAAGCGCGCGGAATAGTCATGTGGAAGTGTTGGGTCCTGTTTCTGTGCGTCGCAGGTAATTAATCAGTTTGCCCGTGTGTGGCCCGCAAAGTGGATTAAGCGTAGCACGAGGGGGATGTTCCGAGGGTTAACCGCGAGAAATATGCGGGAGCGTCGAAGTGAGTGGACGAACACGGCCGAAGGCTGGGATATGCAATTGATTCGCGGAAATATCCGGCGGGTCGTCGTTCGTCCAGTCGCCGGTCTTCGAGGCGCGGCAATCGTTGAGGATATAAAACAAAAAATTGTAAAGGTTGTCATACCGTGCAAGACGATCTGCTATGTAGAGATAAAGTGGCGAGATACACTCTATGGGAAAACTCCGAGAGAGTATCGCGCAAAGTGCTGGCAGATACGACACGACACCACACGAGTGGGGAGCGATCGCGTCGAAACAACGAAATTACGGTAATAAACGGTCGTTTAATGGGCGGCGACTAGTAGTGGTGCTTCCCTCCCACCCCTTGACAATTAAGTATTTTCAACACAATGATATAATTCGGTATTACTATATAATTGACCTATATTTAACCCCACGCTGTTAACGCATCGCGGTCAATTAACAAAAATGCAGGCGGAGCAAGTTACTGGGCGTAATGTCAATTAGAAACGTACCGTTAAGTCGCACATCTCGATAATACTCGAGATAATTCGTAGGATGCGTGCACATAATCGTGAGACGATTTCTCTCTCGATACAGAGAGACATAGACACGGACGGTTATTTGTACCAATTAGCGGTTACGTGCTCTACTAATTGGTCGCTTAATAACCGCTTCGAGATAAGCTGAGATTACGATAACGTAGTGTATAAATTTATCTATAATACGCGGGGTATCGCGCGCGATAAAAATGCCGTCGATACGATCATGGTCATGGTCTGACGTGTCAAAGTTGATACAATAGCTCAGGTGAAAGAAAAAGAGAGAGACGCGCTTCGTTAATTTACTCGCGATTTATGAATAAATAAATAAATAATGAAATTATCCGAGCTACTGATTCACCGAGTCTTCCAGTGTTATGCCAGAATTCTTTATACTTTGTTCCTCGTACTTTTTTCTTCTTCTTTTTTGTTTTTTAAGAAGATTGTTGTGCATGTTTCCGACATGCGCGTGCGCTCTCCGATTATCAATTTTATCCAATTTAAACACTTTTGCCTCAACCTGAATACCTTTGCTTGTCCATCAAGAATGTGGCCCACTTGAAAGATTTCAAATTTAATAAAATCTCGAAGCGAATACACCTTAAAAGGTATGTACGCCGCAAGGTGCACTTTATACTCAGACATACGTGAAATATCTGTATGTGAGATTAACCAGCTTGCCGAGTGAAATGGATACGTTATGCGCAGACAGTTTTGGGACGCGCATATTTTATCGAGTTTCTGATGGAAACTGCGAATAAATTAACGATTGAAGCGCGCGTTTCTCTCTCCCTCTCTCTCTCTCTCTCTCTCTCTCTTTCTCTTCCTCTTTGTCCGACAAAGAGCGGCTTCTGTGCAGATGTTCAGAACTAACGTTAACCATACATTTTCGCAATATCGGATCTAGACGAGCAAGATCCACTGAAACGATACCGTCGAATCGATTCTAGGATCTGTGCCGAAAATAGTCTTCGATAGCAACGATCGTAAAATATTCGCTGAATCGATTCCAACCGAAGACTCGAGCGTCGGAGTCACTAACATAGTTGCGGTGTTGCAAGAACTTGTCTAATATCACTTGCCTAGATAAAATTTTCTTTCGTAATGATAATGGTGTAATCGATGAAATGAGCGGTTATGCCGCACCATAAGAGTGTGTCGTCCTCGAGTGTGCGACCTGTCATTACATACAAAAAAGAAAGAAAAGAAAACAATCGGCCCGGATCAATGACTTTGTCCGATAACGATATAAATAAGCGGTATCAATCGATCGCCGATAGTAACCGGGTTAATCGATCACTTTCTAGATAATGTCAGTTCTTTTTTTATGAGAACACCGATAAATTCCGGAAAGATGAGAGGAATGTTCACCCAAGACGAGAGTGTAGCCTTGTGCCATAAATGCCGTGTGAATGAAAGTGCAAGTTGTGGGTAGTCATATGCCATATAAATATGACTCGCTGTCGCCTATCCCGCATATCGGTCGATTAGACGAGCTCGAAAATATCGAATGACTCGCGAGACCTTCTTCAGAAGGTTATAGCGCGACGGATCGAACGAGGCTGTCGATAATGGATGTTGTAGAAGCGAATTATCAACTTTGTAACTTTTAACCAGGAGCAATTTTAGTACACTTCAATTCGCTGCGGACGATTATAAAGGTTCATGGACGATGACCCGCGATATTAGCAAATTCTTATGAATATAGAGCAAAATTTGCATCCACGTAAACAGTGTGGACAAAAGAACTATATAATGTACCGCATAGCCTTTCATGTCTTTCTTGCAACCCTCTTCAAGAGAAAAATATTGAGCATTTGCGGAGTTTTAATAACAGATTACTTGATAACAACAATAACAATAATGCTTTTAATAATTATTTGTGGTTATGTGTGTCTATTGATACATTTCTTTTTTTCTTCTTTTCATTCATTTCCTCTGTTCCTTCTCGGTATTCCATTCTATAAATTCTGTTCATCGTCAAAAGAAAAAAAAAAAAAAAGACAGAAATTTGTACACAACATTTTTTTCTATGCATGAATATTAAGGTATACGTACGTAAGCAGTCGCCGGCAGCTAACATAAGTTATTTCGGTATCAGGCAATGGTTTGTACACCTGTGATAAGACGACGCTGGTACAACTAAACGATTACACAGAGGAGGGTATGTAGACACAAGCTCGACAAAAAAAAATTTTTATCGCGAAGACAATGTTTGCGTGAAAGAACGTGGCTCTAATTTTTAAATTCTTTAAACTTCGTCCTTTCAACGCGTGAAATATTTTAGCGTCAAAAACTTAATTTTGTCGTCAAATTGTAGTCTTATTTTTTTTCAAGGCGCTTAAAAATTAGAAAACTGGCATGAATTTCTATATTAGAGAGAAAAGACAGAAAGAGAGAGGAAGAGAGAGAGAGAGAGAGAGAGAGAGAGAGAGAGAGAGAGAGAGAGAGAGAGAGAGAGAGAGAGAGAGAGAGAGAGAGAGAGAGAGAGAGAGAGAGAGAGAGAGAGAGAGAGAGAGAGAGAGAGAGAGAGAGAGAGAGAGAGAGAGAGAGAGAGAGAGAGAGAGAGGAAAGAGCAAAAAGAAATATACGGATTTAGATACTGTCTCTCGGAACCTGAATTTTCTCCTCGAATGAAATATGCAACATGCGCACTGGCCATCCCGTTTGTTACGCCTCGCATTTTAAAGCAAGTCGTATATCGCGATGCTCAAAGCTCTACAACAAACTTTAGCATATTCCGCAAACTCGTGTGCAGCTGGGTGCAATAACGTAGAAAATACCGGCAAGGACATCTCGCGAATACTATAGTGGTTCTAAGCGCGACGCGCTTTTTTCCTTATTAATTTTTCTCCTTAATTCTTCGCGTCTGAAATTCGTTCCGCGCTTATAATAATTACCTGCGAACGGTATACACGACGCAGTTCACTATTCCCGACACTATTTCCCGCTCGATGACTAACTGAAATCTGCCGTGTTGTAATTAAAAGGCGTGATATTGTGGTCGGTCTGTTGATTTTTATTATTCGCAAAAACCAGTTCTCGCGGAATTGCCAACGAACGCAGGTGTGTATGCATTTGAATGGCTGAGTATACTTCAGGTGTGATCACTGCACTTTAGCGTGTGCCGAGCGCTAGATAGCCGCGATTGACTCTGTGTGATACTGACCCATTTCAATCTGTGACCTGTGCACGCGTGTCATGCTCGTACAGATGGCGGTTGAAAATGAAGACTGCTAGAAGTAATTGAGTGCCCCAGCTTGGAGTGGCGCCATGCAACGTGTTTAAACTATATTTAGAATAAAACGACACGTGTCGCGGACGGATTTCACTGGAAGGATTTCAATGGGTATTCCAGCGCTCTTTACCGAGCGCTTAACTGTTTAACTGTCGTTGCTTCTTTTTTCTTCCGAGTCTTTTACATCGCGCGTTACTGTTACTTTTACCGTCCATCCGGAGACAATGGAAAATGCGGTTAAAGTTGCTTTCCAATTCACTAACCGCGAATTATTTATCATCGGAGTCAAAACTGACAGCATAATACTACAGCGAACATGTTATCCCGATCGAGCCACGGCGATGTGTGACGAGTTAATACGCTTTTTTCTAATAATTTTGATTTGTTTATCCCATAAGATTGCGCGCTGTCGCGCACTAGAAATTGCCGAGCACTGGATATACGCGCGCGATAAAAAGCGCGCGCCCGGCCGCTTCGCCTCCCCCGTATGTTGTATGTACGTACATAATTGTCGTGCGAACAAGAATGTGTTTTCCATATTAAAGGCCTGCGGGCGGAAAGGTTAAGTCTCTGGTATTTATTAATAGTCATACCGCTTGGTCATATCTCACGCACACGCATACACACGCGCGAACGCAAATGGGATTTATGGCGCCGCGAATGGGACGCGACCAAGTTCGTCTACGCTGCGGTGATTCACGACGATGACTTCCCGAACAATTGCTTACGTATGACAAACAATTATTGTCGACGCGCTGCTGCATGTCGCCGCTCCACCTGTATGCTTTTGCAACAGCCTCAAGATAGTTCACGGTAGACGCGTTGGCACGCATCGCGCAAATCCGCTAGGATCTCTCTCTCTCTCTCTCTCGTCTAAAATCGCGAGGTCGCGAGAGCTGTTGATCTTCCTGAAATTCTTCGATTTGTCTCGTGTCTCAAATTGCCGCGCGTTCGTACAAAACGCGTTCCGTCCGTCTTTTTCTCAGTCTTCGACACTCAGTCCCGATGTAGCAATTTGCCTATTGTCTGTGTGCATCAGTATCGTGTATCATAAAAAGCTGCTCCACTTATACCGGTCTATTTCGCCCGAAGGACCTGTCACACCTTAAAAGTTTCGATCGATCAACAGCCTTCAGAGGCGAATTATGCAAAACCGTACGAATGCGAGAAGGAACTTTTTACTGTTTCGAAACGAGCTATCGACAATGCGTGTGTCGCTTCTCTGGTCGAGTACAGTATATGAAGCAAAAGCATTCAGATGTATATGCGAAACATAAATACGTATAAATATCGAGAAGAGGCTGCATGAATCGTATGTTTATTTGAGCGAGATTACGGAAGGTTCGGAAGATGCCGTAGACATTCTTCCATCGAAATAAGATACGTTCGATCGATAAATCGAATGCGATATGAAATCAAGGGGAATCAAGTAACCTATTTTGCGAGACAATGCCTGATAATTATGCTCTCGATATTGCATCTTGACTATGCAACGACGTGGAGCTAGTCATGCGTGAACCAGACGACGTTACATAATGTTTAAATTCCGCTCAAGGCCGCGGAATAAAAATGTATTCACTCGGAACGAATATCTTGCGCGCATGAAGTATGCGCATAAATTAAAGCGGCTGGAAAATTGTGCGCTTGGAAAAAATCGAGTTTTATCGACGTGAAATTCCTGACAAATGGGAACTGCACGAAATGATCGAGACTCTGAGGAAGCAAGACGCGTTTATTTGCTGGAAAATATCGGGAAATGTTCGAAGGATACTTCGATATTGAGCACTCTCTACGGTACGACGAAAAGCTTCCGCTTGATTCTTTTTCTCCTTTTTCTTTTTTCCAGGTTTATCCTCGGCTGTCTTGTTGAATTCAACGGATCAGCACATCGGTTCCTCATTGAACAATCAGTCGGTGACGTTGCGACAGAACGAACCTGTGAGACGATTCGCGTGTCCTATAGGATTCTTTCGACTGAAACGATTCTGCTATTACTTGAGCGCCGGCACAGCGCCATGGCGGGAAGCGCACTTTCATTGCAAGGACAGAAACGCCACTTTAGCTATCCTGGACAGAAATGGAAAGGACAGAATGCTGAGGAGGTATCTGATGGGGGAACAGTTCAGTGAGTATTACACACCGTGCACCTCATTGTAATCTCAACATCGCGTGACTTTGCTTCTTCCTCGAAACTCGACAGCGAAATTGGAGCGATGGATCGGCGGGATCTTCAACTGGCAACAGAAGGCCTGGGAATGGGGCGTTACCGGTGAGAAGATGGTTTTCCAGAGTTTCGGGAAACAAGAGTCCGGGAAATCTGACAAGTTCGCATGGCACTGTGTCATAATGGATCCGGCATTGAAGTACAAGTGGAGTCCGAAAAGTTGCGTCGAACGGAAGCATTATATATGCGAAGTGCCTGCAGGTCGTTTAGGTAACGAATAATAACGTTCAATATGAACGAGTGAACGAAGATAATCTTTCACCGATAATCCACTTTGACAACGGTCTAACTCCATGATCAATTTTAACGATTTTCTAACGATTTTATCAAGTACAGTCAGAAGACGTAAGAAATCGGACCCCTTCGCGCCGCAAAATCAAAGATTAAAGCCCAGGAAGAAGGGCAAGAAATACTCAGAAGAACAGAGGAGGCTAGACGGAAGAAAGAAAAGCCGAGTGAACTGGCGAAGGAACTGGACGGATCAAGCGGAGAACCAGCAATGGGCTCACGGTGTAAAACTAGGCTCACGGCCACCTTCCAGGTATTTATTTTGTTAAAAGCTAGTTAATTTAGCATTAGAGATTATATATGAGAAATGATTAAAGGAAAAATCTCCAGGACGAGAGAATATCTTCAATTCGACGTCTTAAAGTTACGATCAATAATATTAGCAGTAATTAATTGCATTTCCCACAATCTTTCAAGATTACTTTTTGCCAGTCATAGGATGGCACAGCCTAGAGATCGCGCACGGCATCGTCCCAACAATAGGACTCGCTTGCAACCATCTGTGCCGAGGGTGGCTCAGGTGTTGCCGCGGGGACGAGATTTCAGCGCTTTCTTGGGCGATGGACCCAACCATCAGCCTCAGAAATTGGCTGACATGAGTCACGATTTTACGCAATTCCACAATAAAATCAACGACTTGGCGCGAGAGGAGGTTCTGTTTAAGCCATGAAGGAGAAACCGTCGAACCGTCATGTCGATAACTGGTTACGATTGCAGCTTCGACGCTTTACTATCGTTTTTTATATATGACGATCCTTCTGTTATAATGGTGAAATTAAATTATGCGTCTCGTTCGCTCACGTCAATCAAAATTCGATCAAACGATGTTAACCCCGCCAGAGTTATTTTATCGTGACTTAATTACGGCTACAATCGTACAAGTGAACTTTGGACAATCCGTAGAAGGATAATGCGACCAAAGTTAATTACAAAATAAATCCCACAAGGTTCCTTCGTCTAAATATTTCCGCGAGAGTTTCAGGAGACACATTGTCTAATTCATAGAATAGTAGTCGGCTATGAAGCTGATAGATTAATAATCGCAGTATTTGTGCCAAGATCGCAGGATGCATTCTATACTATTACTGACAGTAAAACTGTCTGAATATTTTCTGTATACTTATCGTAACATTGCTACAGAGAATTACTCTATTATCTCTCTATAATATTTTACCTTCTAGTTTGCCATACAACAATGCCCCACGCGATTAATTAAATATGACGCACGAATAATGCAGGTATTAATATAAAATATTTAAAGCCTTCGACGCGCTTGCAAATCATCGCGCTTTGCGCGGCAAATTGCGTTCAACATGATAAATGAAGACAACTATTACTCACTAATTAATTAAGCCGTATTTAGCGGTAATCTTTTACGCTGATCATACTGCAAAGTTCATACAAATGGATTGCAGTTAGAGATAGCAGATCAAAAAGCAAGATAAGACTCGTATTTTTGCTTTTTGGTCCGCTTTCGTATATGTTACTTTTTCATTGCTTTGTCTGTAAATATACCAATATAAGACTATCGATATATTCCTTGTATTTAATGATGTATAATAAAATACTGATGCAAAAGTCCATATGGCGCGATTAAAATTGTCGATAAAATTAAAGAAAAATCGAGAGTGGGTTTTGCTAACGATATTACCCATAGAAAGTCGATTTTCCTACCTTAATATAGGTGCAGAGAGCATCCCCTTTCGGCTCACCAGCAGCGTCTTTGTACAGCTTAATTTTGTCTCTTCCTTTTTCGTCCCTAGCTATGAGGCCGCACTTGGTAAAGAGTTGCGTTAGCTCGTCCATGGTAATATCCAGAGGTAGGCCAGATACATAAATAGCGGTATTATGCGCCTCATCAACTTCAAACCAGCTCGGTGGTTCCTGAGCTTTCCGTTTGGCTTCTGCTTTTCTCTGCTCCTTTTCTTCTTTGATTTTCTGAGCAGGTGCTGGAGGCTGAGGTTCTGCTTTCAGCTGTGGTGCGTTAGTGTTTGCGAAACCATAGCTCATCTGGTACTTAGCCATAAAGTCTTCATCAACCTATAACAAGAAATCAAATGTTTCTACTCAAATATTGCGTGATAAATATTTTTGAAGTTGAAAAATCTCAAATTATTTTTTTCCGCTTGATATTGTTGTTACCTTGGGAAACCAGGCATTCTTTTCCTTGTCCCAGATATACATGCTGCCATCGTTTGGATCTGTGTACGTGTGCGTATCATTTTCAAAGCCAAAAATACCAGATGAGTTAACTTCAGAACTGGCATTTTCCTTCTTTTCAGTTTCTCCAGAACTCTCCTTATTATCAGAATTCTTCTCGTTATCTTTCTTTATCATCCACTTATTATTTTCTTGGTCAAACTTATAGGTAATATTTGTAGCTTTGTCGGTATAAATGTAAGTTTGTCCATCAAATTCATAGTTCTTCATAGGATCATCTTGCTTCTCTGATTCTTGTGTATCAGTCATACTGAATACTGGCTTATTGAATCAGTTTACAAAGTGATCAGTTTACAAACCTATATACAACAAAGAAAAAAACAACTGTATTAACATATTTATATGTCTTACAATCGTATAATTTATCCTTAAATATGTGTCAACAGAAACATATTTTTTCATATACTTAATAATTTCTGATTATAATACTCGGTCGACTTATAACGAACAGACAATTTGAGACACTTTTAATATAAAATAACGTCTATAAACCTGAAGTATTAAAGGTTAAGTGTACCATACATGAGAATTATAATATCGAAGATTTCTACCAATCGGTTTTATTTAATACCTTTATCATCTGCAAGTTCCAAGACGACCGTTGTCTGTATCGTGATTAATAATCCACTAATAATCCACGTGATTACAACAATCAACACTGACAATAATCAACATTCGCACCGTACAAATGACACAATAGAAACAGCCTACGTGATCGACGCGCGATACGTAACAGACGACGAGTTTCGTGACACTAGTGCCATCTATAGGTTCGCCATGACATTATTACGATGTATCAAATTTTGCAACAAAAACAATTATCGAATAAAATTTATATCGAGAGAGCTTCGAAAAGTATGCTGAGAGATGAAAATATCAGAATGTTAAGCAACTTATATCGTAGCTTTGGGCCCAATACATGCCCGAATAATCAATGAAACTCGAGTGGCTTGACATTATTTATATTATTAGCTGTAACGAGTTTCATTCGTTAAGGCGAGTGTTTCTCGAAAAATCCTAGCCGCCCAAACTGTCGGCCATCTTGTGATCGGGCTCGCCGAAAAACCGTGCGGTCGGTCGCGCGATCGCGCCCCCATTCTTTATTGTCGAGAAAGGCAACGACGCGGTTGCCACTAGAAATTGATTTCCAGTTGCTAGGTTACGTGTCGGCTTGAAAGCGCCAGCACCGGCTAGCTAGCACGCCTATCTGGCTGGCGGTTAGTCGGCTGCAAGTTGCGCGGCGCAAAGTGCAAGCATGGGCCTGCCGGACATTGAGACGATACCCGGTAAAGAGAAAGAGACAATAAAAACACGCACCTGACACGCACGCACGCATGCACGCACGCACGCACGCACGCACGCACGCACGCACGCATCCGCGCCGCGAGCATCTCCGGCAGCATCCTCCGTACGTCAACAGCTTTCGAATCGGATGTGATTCGTCGATCGATCGCTCACCAACGGTCAAGCGGATATCGTTGAAACGCTCGCGACGTACCCTCTGCTTCGCCATGCTGTGCCGGTCACCGGCGTGAAGTTGAACGAAAATCGATACGCGACACCGCTATCGAGCGATCGCTGCCTCGTGCTGGCGCGTAGACCACGTCGCGGGATTTCGAATTGACGATACGAGTGCGACCGACGATAATTGGCAAAAACACGTCAAAATTGAGCAGCAATCTTGCAAGCTTCGCACGCTATCAAAGTATCGCGGTTGCACACGATGCACTTTCTTGCGGAATACTACATTTACGTATATCTCCATCGACCATGCGACCGACTTTTTTTCGTTACGAATAGTCAACGCAAACGCGCGCGTCCTACTCGTGAAATATGCTCTCGAGAGCGCTCTTGTTTTCGTCCTCGAATTGCGTTGAATATCCTCGGTGGGCAGTGAATAGTAGTGGTTTGTTCAGCTGTATGCGGCTACCAGCACGATCCGCTCGTTAATCGGCTAATGCCACCGCCGTGGAACATGCGAGTCATACGAGCATTTGTGTCATTAACTTATCGCTGGTATTATCGCGAGAAGAATATAAGTCGGAACAAAAAGGCCCTTGTTTGGCAGAACGCCGTTTGATTCTTCTGATAATGATAATAATAATGGGCTATATTCACACGCATACGCATATGCACACACGCACATGCGCACATATATACGCACACGCAATACATGCCCTGCACGCCCTGCGAGCGAGTCGGATTTCACCTTTGGCACTTCTCGGGACGGAGTGAACCAGCCTTTTATTTGGAACGCTTTGCATGCGAATAGATTACTATTTGCGAGCTATCGCTAACGGATTGTGTTAGATCGTGTACACACATACTTGCCCGAGCAATTCGGCGGCTATTAACCGACCTTTGGTTCAACAACCCTAGAAGTAATGTATGCAGACCTCGGGAGCGACCGACTTTATCCTTTCTGCGAAATTTACTTTCGTCTTTTCTACAATCTATCCAGCGGAGTCGCAAAATGATAGTAGTAAAACAATGGCAACGAGATTACAAGCTTAGGTAATTTTAAGACTCGGGACAATTTTAGAAATTGACATTTGGAATACGAATTCTCAATCGTTACATTTACCATTATTGTAATGTTGAAATGCTATTGTGCGACTCAGAGATTGGAACATTTTAATGACTGAGGATACCAGAATGCTGAAGTCTTTCGAGTAATTTGGTGCTAAAGAAATTCGAAGATTGAAAAATGTTTTTAAAACTCGTAGATTAACAATCTGTGACTATTAATTTGTAAATTAATAAACTCGAGAGTCTAACTCGAATCTAACGATTCGAGGAGCTGAATGTTCGGATGTCCATTGCCCCGTTAATTTTACAATTTTCCGACACGTCGGAAGTCTTTAACGATTTGCAATGAGACAATTCGTGTAACTCTCTGACGTAAGACAGATGCTCAATGCATTATGCAAGAGGCCGCCGTTTGAACTTTTGATAAGCGGGACCTAAGCGTAAATCTCGAAGGATTTATCGTCCATTTTGCGTCCATTATTGACCTTTCGCGAGGGGAAGCTGAAATACCAGCGTTAATTTCGCGTCGGGACACGTACGGCGTACGGTGTCTTAACGCTTTTCCGTTCCTTTTTACTTCGCGCCGACTTCAAGCTTAATTTATGCCAAGGCTGTACAACGATAAGACTTGCCCTCTACCGCGCTATATTCGTGGTACTCCACCAGTGATACGCAGAAATAGAAAGATCCATAAGTCTGAGGTGCCGACAATTAACTCTTGGAGAGAAACACGTATCCATTATTTATCCTTGTTGCTGAATAATTTTACTTACGGTTCGCTCGTCCATAATTTCATCACGTCGCGCAGATCGATGACGCTTATACGTGCCAACGATTTACTTTTTTCCGGAAAAAGTGACACCAGGGGAAAGGTGAAAAACTTTGAACAAGTTTAAATACAGCGATCGATTGTAATCTCTTGCAACATGCATGTACGTATTATACATTGTAAATTTAGGGTCATTAAGTACATTCTTATTCTATTCACGGATTATAAAAATCGCCACGTGCAGCTCCAAATGCAAATTCATGCGATATAAATGACGTGCTTATTATGTATTTATAGTTTCGTAACGGAATGACATACAACGATTGAAATCTCGCAAGAACAAACAATATCGCGACCGATTATGAATACCCGGTATTGTGGAGCGTTTCGCAAGGGCGACCTGCGCGCAGTTCCAAACTCGAATTACAGAGTCAAATACGTATTTCGGGTGAAAGGTCAACGCTCGTGTAATTGTGGCGCGCGCGCGGAGACGTGTAAATCCGAGCGCAAAATCTTCATCGATTGAGTGATTCGCACATTTAAACATAGGAAACTCGATTCATCCTGCCTTCAATATTTAACGATGTATCGATCTTTCTGCATTGTAGAGACCGGGGCGGTGTTCACGATCGGTCGTAGCAGATTCGCGGACAATGTTGCGTCGCACTTCTTCATACGCAAGGACCCCGTCGTCGCTATTGTTTGCGGGGACGAGCATTCGGCCGTGATTTGTCGTAAGTTTCGAGAAGCTTTGCTTTCAAAACGCCTGTTTTGGTCGCAGACCAAACGCAATTTGCAGAATAAGAGAGTACCATCGAACCAAGACAACCATTGAAAAAGCATCATCGTCGTCGTCGTTATGAAGTCGTTATGAAATTGAGCCTAGATTTCAGGATAGGTTTAGTTCTTCAACTATGCAGACACAACACAGAGGAGTCGACGACAATCAGTTGCGCCGTCTATTGAACCATCGTTAATAATTAATTAACGTCGCGCACACAAAGTATAACGTTGCCTCTGACAGTAAAGCATGTATCTGTAATGAGCGGTGTTGTTGCGGTGACGCAAAATAGTCTGTTATAATAAACAATAATCGCAACCGCTTCTTTCCGCCTACTCTCGTATTTTCGGCTTTACATTCATTCGTGGCAGGTTTACACTCGTTCGCATATTTTTAACGTCGCGCCGTTTCGAGGTCGTGTTTCATCGGAAAGTTCAGACGTTTAAAGCGTGGATCTCGATAGCTACGCTGTGTGAGATTCGTGGATTCTATAATGTGTTGAGGCGTTTGATTCGGGCTCGCACGATTTACAGCTTCTGTAGCATGCCACGCGACCACGCGGGTATATAGCCGAGCTATGCTTACATAGGAATACCCACTGTCCAGTAAATCGATATTGAACACGCAATGGTCGGGCCAGCCGGCATTGTTGGCGTTATTAGTACAATGCGTCTTGAGAAAGCCCGCTACGCTGTATCATCCGGCAATTATGAGAACGACTTTGTATAAAGAGAGACCGTCGGAGGAAGCGAAAGAATTAATTTCAGATAATGATAAATCCGCCGGAACTACGCGACAACGTCGAAACTCCGTCTATTCTCCGACAGACGGATGTGTTCCTCCTCTTTTTCCTAATCGTATAACGAGGAGAGACGTTTGCACATTTCTTTGTGCGCATCTCATCAAGATCTCTCTTGTAATCCGCTCTTGTAACTTGCGTAAGCTTGATTGATGCGACGCTATTTGCTTGATACGGTGTAATTAAACCTTACGCAATCGAATTTATTACTAGTGGAATCGTATCTTTGGCTACATTTAAATTCTAAATTCTTCAAGCACTGCTCGTTATGTAAATTCAGAGATGATATTCACCTCGAGATGTCGCGAATAATTTCAGAGCTGTATCAAGTCCAACGAGTTTTAAAATTCATATAAATTACTTCAGAGACATTCCATAGCGTCATCCAGGTGTCCTTCCCTCTTGTTTTCGATTCGTTCTGCTTCTTCTCTTTTCCTCTTTTTTCTAGAAACTGGCAGACTTTTTGTTTTCGGCAGTAACGACTGGGGTCAGCTGGGACTGGGTCATAAAAACCACATCAGTAAACCTTCGTGCGTGAAAAGTTGGTAACTCTTTTATAAAAAAGGCGATACATAAGTTTAGACATAAGTGAGATAATAATATGTTACTGCTTTTATTAAAAAAAAAAAAAATTTTTTTTACTAAGAGCGTTCTGTATTCTCTTGTAAACATGTCGCAGCGTTGAATTCGTTCATTACTTATTTATGCATAATTTATAAAAGTGGCATTTTTTTTCTAAAATCACTTGTAAAGCTTTGCGTTGGAGATCATTTAAAAATCGAGGCTACAGTTTCTTTCCGCTATCCGTTTAATTAAACGCCGTTCGTACTTTTGACGATTGAGGGTCCAATGTGTTTCAGTCTTGAAACCGGAGAAAGTCACACACGTGGCATGTGGGAGAGCGCATACTTTGATATGTACAGGTAAGCAACGAGCAATGTGTACGAAGATGTATACGGAGTGTCTCTCTCGCGTATCTCTCGCGATTGCGCAAATATCGAAAGTCAGTTTAATTGCCCTGTCTATTTGACTAGCGCGATAGTGATTCGTGTCGCGCGTGTAAGCAACGAAATATCGCTCTTTCGAGAGCGACCAGACAATTACTTTCACATTAGCCGATGCGATCTGTCGGAAATACGCAACTGCTGGGACACCCCTTATGCGCGCACATACATACAGTTGTCATTAATGGACGTGCGATGGATACCGTGAGCGGGTATACCACCGTTTCTATATGTGTTCTTCGCGTGCCGTGAACTTTGACGAATATTTGTCGAGTCATTCAACTTCAAACTTGTTCTCACTTGAAGGGATTAACGCGATAGAGATTCCCAAGTGATACGCCACTTTGTTAGCTCCTTTTCCAAATGACATATGATTCGACATATCACAGCACAGTACAGCGTCGGTGAGGTAAAGCCGCGTAGCTAACGCGTAGCTCGCGGAAATACACATACACTGCAAAAACCCGAGTGTGTTATTTTGACACGCATAAGCTGGAGCTTTCTTCACGCGTTTCTTGTCTTGTCTGAAATCACTCGTCATTCGATGCTGATTTCGATATCACTTGACGCGTTTAAACGCGTTAAACGACGTGATTCAAGACGAGCAGGATAGGACGAGCGTAAAGGAAGCTTCAGCTTCCTATACGCGTCAAAATAACACACTCGGGTTTGCGGTGTAATCGCTATCGATTTCATCGACCGGGCCCTTGATCTATCGTTATCGTTGGGAGTAGTTAAACTAGTCTTGTTAGTTTAACATTCGTGGCTTCCGCGGTACGTGGATCCTGTTAGCTTGTCGCAGTAAAGTACAGCTATGACGTTTCCATCGGTTTAACGATCAGGAAACACACACACGAGGGATATATAATCGCGCTTCTTTCTCTTTTCTTTTCTTTGCTCATCAGGAGCCCAGAAGATCTTTGCGTGCGGCAGCAACCAAGAAGGTCAACTGGGTCGGGAAAGCTCCGCGATAGGCGACAGCTCCAGTTCTCCGATTTTGATTTACGACTGCGGTCTCGCCGGGTCCAGGATCCTTCAAGTCGCGGCTGGATCGCATCATTCGATGGCTCTCACCAGCGATGGGGGTGTTATCGCTTGGGGAAGCAATCTGGAAGGGCAATTAGGATTGCCCGGGATCTCGGGACTGGTTAACAAGCCGACAAAGGTCCCCATTCCAGAACCGGTGAAGGAAATCAGTGCGGGATACTATCATTCGGCTCTTTTAACCGGTAATATAATTGACGAACAACTTTTGTTTCCCGTCTGAGATGATAAAATTTTATGAGGAAAATTAACATTTTTTACGACAGATTAAAACAGATTAAAACTGAAACCGAGAAACATGTAAAAATTCAACGAGTCCTCCCTCCTGGGAGGGACTTTTCTTATAAAATACTTAACAATGTTTGTTTGACAAGAGAAAGAAGAGGAAGGAGAAGAAGAAGAAGAAGAAGAAGAAAGAGGAGAATATGTATTTAGTACTTCAAGTCCAAAATGCGGTTTTAAAAGTCTGTCTGAGCATTCTCGGACGTCACGGCACTTTTTGCGATAAATTCTAGATAAAATCGAGCTTCCGCTGCGGCACGCTCGAGCACGTGAGGGCTGTAAAATGCACATTAAAACGCATATAATTCGACGGCGACGATGTTTCCAGAAAGCGGTCTCGTTTATGTCTGCGGCGAATCGGAGAGCGGTAAACTCGGGATCGATGTCAACTTTTCTACGCAAGTTGCACCGAAGCAAATGCAGCTGCCAGCGCCGGCTCTGCATGTTGCATGCGGCGGTCATCACACACTCGTGTTAGCAGGTTGGTCGATGGATTTGGAACCGGTCGTTATTGTTCCCCCCATGCTCCAGCACTCGCTCGATACTCGCAGTCTGTCGTAAAACTGAAAAGAAATTCTTACCTTGGACATTTTGTATACACGCATACATACGTTAATAATGTTCTAAAGCATTACATATTAATTAATGGGAGGGACCTGGGCTTGCTGATATCGCTGATAATTGTGCGAAATTGCCAGAGAACGGCAACATTTACTGCTCCGGTAGCAACGCCAGCGGTCAACTTGGCATGGGCACGAACGTCAGTGAGGTGCACACGCCGAAACTTCTTCCACGCGGGGCTCTTCAGAGCGAAATCATCGTCAAGATCTCCTGCGGCGAAAGTCACAGCGCTATACTCACTGGTGAGCCGCTCGAATCGTCGTCGTTCTCCTTGAACTCAAAAATCTCAGATTAATTATTCTCCGTGTGTCCACATTGCAAATGACAGAGTCGGGTAAACTCTTCACCTGCGGAGACGGGCGACATGGAAAATTGGGTCTGGAGGAAAACGAGAATAACGTTCACGAAGTAACATTCGCTGCCAAATACCAGGAGCTGTTCGTCTCGAATGTAATTCGGCTTATTTAACGAAGCATGTATGTAATCGTCGCGTTTGACTGTCCCGCACTAATTGTCTCCTCGCCTCGCAGGTCTCGTGCGGGGGATGCCATACGATATTGGTTGGTCGGAGACACGAGATGGATTATCAATCGCAACGGCAGTCGGCAGCCACCCAAATGGTAAATGTAATTGTGTTTCGTATCGAATTGAACGAAGAGATGGAATTGATATTCTGTAAATCAACACAGTAAATCACGTTCCGTGATGGAAATACTATACGAATCCGCCATCAGAACGTTGATAAAGGATTATAAAGAAATTGCTAATTAACTTTTTTATAATATTATAAAATAAATGAAGCATGTTCATGAGGAATGCGTTTTTGTGACTACAGGAGCAATCCGCACAGAAAATAAGCTCTCTACCTCCCTTAAAACTTCCTGTAAATATGCAAAGTGAAGAGCGGTTGGATAACACGGAAAACAAGTCGACGAGCGAAAATGGCGACAACGACAAGGATAAAATTCACGAAAACACGGAAAATAATGCCACCAATACAACAAATTTTCCAGAGAACGCGACAACGAATGACTCAAATTTGGTCAATGGTTCAAGAGACGACAATAATGTGAATCATAAAGACCTAACCTCGGAGACTACGGTTCCGTCCGAGAACCTAAACAAAACAGAAGAGCCGCAGCCAGTCGGCGATGAAAATCACGCGGAAGATGAAGGAAATGAGCAGGATGACGAGAATAATAAAAGTAAAGAAAACAGCAAAGAAAATAATAAAGCAGATAGCCCTGAGGATGACGAGAATACGGAAAATCAAACGACGCAAGAAGCTGAAGAACAGCATATAGAAGCAGCAGTAACAACGACAACAGAAGAAACCGAACAGGAAACGTCAACGAATACCACACCACCGCCGAAACCACCGCGGTTAAAATCTGCAAATGCCGAAGATACCGGCAACGGAAAGGAATCTTCAAAAGAAAGCGACGGGGTCGGAGAGCTTGAGAAAGAGAAGAACGGAGAAGAGACGAAGGCGAGGAACGAGCGAAATGAGAGCGCAAAGTCGTCTGATGAAAAACTCAAATCGGCAGTTTCGAAAATCGGCGTTGAAAATATCGTAGGCGCTGTAGAAAATTCAATAGACAAAGCGCAGGAGGACGGGCACGTTGAAGAGCCAGAGAAAACAGAAGTGGATGGCGTGCAGGACGATGCTGATGTGGTGCAATCGCCGGCACCGCGAACAGGTTAGTGAATAAAATTGTTAATATTCGCAATAAAAATAGCATTTGACATTTTGACAAGGAGAAACACTTGAATAATTTCTAATAAATCGATTGGATCTGAAAAACTGCAGAAATCACAGATTGCTGATTAATATTTTATTAATTATTCGATCGATATTTCAAATATTTCGATGATCGTTTTAGGTAAGATGGCAAAGTTGTTCAAAACAAAACGGCAACAAGAGATTCAAAACGGAACCAAGAAGACGGGCAATGTAACGAATTCAAAAGCTAAGGTATGTTTAAATATTGAAAAATAAAAAAAACTAAAAATCAAAACAGGAAGAAACGACATATAAAAACAAAATAAACAAAAAATAAAGCATAATCGGTAAATATCAGCTTTCCATATTCATATAGCTACAATTATAAAATGCAAGATCAATCTAAAAATATATTAACGTATATACTTTCAGTCGAAAACGTGTATCATCCTATGACTGAAGAGACTTCAAAGAGACCGAGGCACCTGGATTCATTATATTTTTTATAAAATAATACTTATGATAAATTCATCGCTGGGACCAATACACGTGGAACCGGAAATCTCCTTCTCCAACGACACGAAGAGCTCACATTTATCACCATATGTGTGTGTGTGTGTGTGTGTGTGTGTGTGTGTGTGTGTGTGTGTGTGTGTGTGTATATGATTATATATACATATATATAATCATTAAACATTATTTAGAAATAGCTTAGGCTTGCGTTATGCCGATGTTTATCTCTCATGTGAATTGCTACGACACCGTGAAATCTTAATAAAATCGCCGGCAATATCAACAATTTTCATTTATTGTACCTAAGCACATGTGAATATAGCACGACTCACTTAGGAGTCGATTTCATTTGAATATTATCATCATTGAATAATATTCAAAAAATTCACGCGATATAAAATGCAAGTAGCAAACGAAAGCCGAGTGTAAATGCAGAATACAGAACAGTACAGAATACAGAATACAGAAAAAGAGTACAGAAAACACAAATGTACGGAATACATTATCTTGGATAAAGGTATTTTATTAAATTCTACCTACAAAAAAATTCTGTTCATACGCGCTAAAATAAATTTATCTTGCTGTTTTCATCTGCCGAATTAATAAAAATTACTTAAATCTAACGCACAATATCACTGTGTCCTACTGATTTTATCACTCATTCGATTAATCGTCAAACTATGTTAAACTTATAATGTGCACCAACGTGTCGAGTAGTCGACGTGTCGTTAAATTATATGATTATCCAAATTTGCCTTCTCCGTGTTCGTTCGTCCTGCGCTTCGACGGACGATTGGTATGAATATTTCTATACCTACGCGTAGTTAACGTTAAAGCAATTGACCTCATTCCTAATCGAAAATGTTTGTTGTGCATTGATAACGATGTTTTATTGTATTTATAGTATACTTAACGTAAGATCACTAATATTGCACTAGATTATGGCCAAGCACGAGTGGGACACGAGTTGAGAGTTGAGTCCCTTTAGACGCAAATTCCACATTATGTATAAATAAGGACGGAATCACAGACACATAATTACATACTCAATGTGATATCCTGGAATCCTTCGTGATACCGAAAAAAAAAAAAAGAAAAGTTTAGGCAGACCCCTGATTGGCGCGACCAGCAATATCCCCGTGTTTAAAACCGTCATATTGCTTTTTTCTTTTTTTTCTTTTTAATTGATAGGAAACTCACGCATGCACGCATATACATATCTTGTGACATCGTAATTTGATATAGCTATGAAATATTATAACGATCATGTCGTCTATTCTCATGCATTGCGAAAGATCAGAAATTCTTTGGCGAATTTAAATCTCGCGACGATACAGGGAGCTCTTCGTCGATTACGATCGATTAAATTTACATGAAATGACGGATGATTTTCTTTTTTTTCGTATAAGTTATTTTACATAAATATTAAACATCAATTCACATAGTCCTAATCAGTTTAATGACTCTTTTTGAGCGCCAACGGGGAGACTTTGGTGTATACAGTCGAAGAAAACGTGTTAGGTTACGCCGTGTCTTGTCATACACATACACACACACTGCGCAGGTACATACTTTTCCGATACTTTTAAGAGAAAGTCGCAATTAATTAATTAATGACGCCTAGCCTTAATCGATTTTAGGACAAAATCGATCAATGACCACTCGCTAGATGATACGCACGCACACGTGCGTAAGTTCTTGCAATCTTTCGTCGAGCTCTTCGAGGTTTATATTCTTAATTTATGTATACATTAAATCCTATCACCCTGTAAAAGTTATGCTAATGAGCGAGTGTTTGGTGAAGAATCGTAAAGTCATATAAATCCTAAATTAAGTGAAAGGGCCCGTGTGATCCTTCGTGTGGCAAGTGTGAAAAAGATCGTACAAGTCTGTCGCGGACGATCTCAACGAGCGATTTCTATATTCCACGTGCAAACTCTGTATCCCTCGCGAATTCTAGATTATTCAGAGTCTAAATTTCTGAAATCCCAAATACTATGTGTCGCAAGTACCAAAGTTTTTTGTAGATACTACCCTCTGTCTTTCATTCAATGACCCACATATGTCCCATGAATTTGAAGAAATTATTAATCATTCTAAGGTATATAACACTCATGATATATGAAAGAAGCCAATACAATAAATACTTTATTGTTTTTTTTTTCTGCATCAAGAAAACGAGTCATAATGAAAGAATTAAATCCTAAACACCTTTCAGACTCTCTTGATGTTGATCGAGTTCATGAGATCCTTGAGTATGCATGTACGTTCTATTCATCTGTACAATTCTAGATTTCTCGAGACAATTTTGTGTTGTTTCGCGACGAATAAGCAACGGTAGACACATCTTCGCAACAGATCGATGTGTCATTTGTCATAACGTCAAGATGAATAGAATCGTCGACACAAACGAAATTAGGCGTCATTAATTACATTTGCGCTGCGAGTAAGACAGCTAAAGTTAACACATACATTTACCTAGCCAGCTCCGTCAAGTCTCTATGACGTCTTGTTTCTCGTCAATGTCGTTGCTCAGCAGGATGTAAGAATCCCTACCGGCCATCAGTCGGTGCTGGCCGGCAATCAGGAAGGACGAGCCTCTCCTAATGGTCCTCCTGCCCAGCTCGATCGTCTCGTGCGCCAACACCGGGCTATTATACGTCTTGATCAGCACTGTGACGATAGTCGTCAGACCGATCAAAATAAAACCGTACGTGAAGCAGGGTGTAATGATGTCGAGGAACGAAGTTCCGAAGAAAATCCATCTCCGAATGGACGGTGTCAGCTCTTCTACTCCCTCCTCGGCCCACATAATCGGAAACATGATGTCGGGGAAATTTGCGACCGCCGCGATGTTGGGCTGCCGTTCTACCTTCAGATTCGCCTGAACGCGTATTTTTGCTTCGAGCGGCACGCCCAGTTTCTAGAGAAACGAAACACAGACACATCACAGGCGCGTCTTCCAGAATCTTTCTTTAAGCTCGCAATTGTACCAAGTATTGGAGGATTGCGAATTGAATCGAATTATCAAAGACTGTGAATTGAAGATTGAGGTTGCACCCCCCGATCGGGACGATGTTTCGGCTGATTTATCGTTTTCATTCATCACAATCTCTAATCCGCGCAATTCTCTATTGCCGATTCTTCTATCCTAAACTGTATGTAGACTTTAGGATTCGCCGCGCCGCGTGCGATCTACTCACCGGTTGAATCTTCGCGTATGATCTGTGCAAATGCTCGACTGGTTTGAGTCCGTCAACGGCGCTCAGCAATTTGGGATCCGCTTGGTAAAAATGCGGGAAAGACATGAAGATCGGCGCGTCTGAAACAAAAGAAAAGGTTCGATGCGTGCGGGTAACTTTAGCGGCGTGCTTTAGCAAAGGGCGCGCGCCGATTTCTTGAAAAACGGAAAAAGCGCGGGAAATACTTACTATACTGACACGGGCTGACGTCCTGTAAGCCTTGCACTGCGCAGTCGGCAACGTTGTCCGGGCAAAAGCACTTGTTCTCTGGCGTCAGACCTCCGAAAACCGTGTCCATCGGCGTGTACAAATCCACTTTGATGCTCGATTTTTCCACCGGCCCGCGATACTGCATCGGTAATATCCTGCACAAATCTTTATCATAGATGTAAACAAAGTCCGAGCCGGTGACATCTCGCGGCGGGAAGAACGAGCCTACGAGGAAACGTCGCGTTAGCAAAGATTTTCGCCCACCTTCAGATAAAGCCAAGAAGAAACACGCTTGAAAATACGCTCACCCTCCGAAGCTCTGATGGAGTTGCAGGGTGCCTGAGACCAATACGGCAAATGATCGAGCCCGTTTAATTGATTCAGCAAGCCGAAGTTCTTCATACCTTTTTCTCCAGTGTAAATCGTGTGCACTTCGTTCAACGTGCCGTTCCTCTACGATTGCATTTCCCGATTATGTGGCGCGTGTTAATTTAAGGGAGAGAAGATTCAACTCCCGAGAATATATCGCACATCTCGGGAGAGAATTTCTTCGAGTACTTACCCCAATCAGGAAGCCCATTTTGCTCATGGGCCGTTTTCCTTTAGGAAAAAATCGATGCCCGAGGCTAACAAACGGATCATCGTAGCCGAACGCGAGTTCGTCGACTGTTATCGGAATAAACGGTTTCATTTGCATTCCGCTTATGAACATTGACAATCCGAACACGATGAAGCGCGGGAAGTTCTTCGTCATAGCCGAAACTGTCTACGAAAAAGGAACAAGGAGTGTTCTGTCACACGCTCGTTTGAATCTCGGCGCAGAGTTCTTAGCGTGCGCGGACTTGTCAAAATTTTATTGCATTTGTGTGAGCAACTTACCAGCAGAGGTATATTCGGTATTATCACCTTGATATTTTTGTTTTCGGACATTTCGGGCACAAAATGTAAGATCTTCTTGTGCTGATAGCTGACCGTTCCGTTATTGTGAAATACGATGTTAACTTTTTCCATATCCTCTCTGCGAAACACAGGTAAAGACAGGCTTATTTCTCGAGAGAGCTTGAGAAGCAATCGTTCACGGACGAAACTTGGCCCGTTGATATACGAGTCCGCAAATAAAATCGGCATTGATCTTCAGTGCTCTTTAGTTGTCCGAGAAGCATTCGCGAAAACTTACCGGAAAACGAACGGTCCGACTTCCTGAAGCTTCGGTCTCTCATTGTACTGCAGAAATGCTTCCGTGTTGCTTACGTTAAATATATACATTTTTGTCAATCGCACTACGCCTGGCTTCTGCCAATAGTGAAAAGAAAGCGAGCCGTTCCACAGTTGCAATTGCTGCAAAAACAACACGGGAATTGAGAATTGCCGATATTGCCGATATTATACGACGCGCGTTTGCGCGGTTCCTCTCCACTTGAGACTGAGATCAACGTTCCATGCGTTCCATTTCGAATGATTTATCACGATGCTTTTGCATCAAAGTAAAATTAGATTCTTCTTTAGAACGACCGCAACGAAAAATTGTTAGCATCTTTCTTTTACACAAACAAAAAAATGAGAATTACGCGCTCTCTAAAATACTCTCTAAAATACGTATTACCGGAAATATATACACGCAAAGAGATTAACGTGTCGATTGAGATGTTACTGGCGAACGGTGACACTATTACGGAAAATCATATTCGATGCGTTTCGATCACGAGTGACATAATGACAATGATGACGATCATAAATTATCTTTTCGAGCATAATTCGCATGCGTTAAAGAGACTTTGGTCGGTAAAAGAGACCTATCGCGATATTTGCCGCGAATGCAAATTACTTCACACGCAAATACCATAAAAAATATTGAATATTCAATCACTTTGTTCACAATTATGAACATGTAATCTGTCCTCACGGGATTCGAAAATACAAAACGGAACTAAGAGGAGAAAACGTAACGTGTTGATTTTTCATTGTTACTTCATCATCGTCTCGCCGACATGTACGTATCGTTACGCTTTTACAAGCGATGTTACCAAATGCAGTAGACGCGCCTTCGCTCGTGTTGACCGCATCAACAAATATTGCCTTATAATTTGCCCTATCAATTGTACTTGGTGTGTATTCTCGCGTGCATACATACGTACATACATACACATGCAAATTTACAATTCATGATGATTCATACTCACTTTTAAGAGGATGTAATCAACCCAAGGTATACTACTGAGCACTATACCAATCACAAGTGCGAGAAGACCTAAGCAGATCGCTGTTATTCTACCTGAAACAGACAGAGAGCAACGGAAAACTAAATTAACAACGCTGGTGTGTTAAACCGTAACATCGCACGCGCACCGAATGCGTGTTTGCGCAAATTGTTTCTTTTTTTTTTTTTTCCCAACTGACGCCAGTTGGCACACCACAACAACCGAGAGTGTTACTCGTAAAGCAAGCATTGACCTACATTCAACAGTTAATAGGGAGTATCAAGCGTTGCTGACGTAAAAAGGTAAAAAAGGCATATACATGTATCCTAGAATAAACGGCAATATATTCCGCAGGAAATTAGCGCATTAGACGTATACTTTACGCGTACATATTTCGTAAAATTTCGTAAGATTTCGGCTGAAGTAGTCGAAAACATCGTATACCTCTGTTATCTGCCGGATTTATCTATCCGGTGAGATCGCAATACATCGTACATGTACGTGGAATTTATACAGCCACACTGCGTGAGGAATTTGTAACTGATGCTATCGGCTGTAATTATTCTTTATGCAGTAGCGCTCACACCGATATATCTCTTTGATCTACGAAGCTCCTCGTCGCGTTTTCATCGAGGAATATGTCACGTTTATCGTTCAAAATCGCACTTATAATGCATATGAACGATGCGTGTCAACAATAAACGCCGCGACTTGATATTTCTCGCGATGATCTCTGACGAGTCTTGACACAATTGAATTTACAATTATCGATTGTAATTGCAATAGAGATCATCAGTCTTCTGAGCCACAAGTTTACAATTGCGTGTTTACACACGCGCCAAGACAAGATCGGTGTGCAAAGTTGCTCGATTTAGAGCGAAGACCTTGCACATCTGCCCTCAAGCAGAGAATCTGGCAAATGACCGAGATGACGGTTTTTCAACCGGATGTGCATCTTGGACGTTAACTCGGTCGGCCCGTTATATAATTCTTGCGAGACTTGCAACGGCTATCGGGAATTTTTCATCGCGTATAAGTCGGTCAACTTGCTTTCACTCCCAAATTAAATGTGAGAACTTAACGAGGTTACTATTCAGTTGCCACACGGAGCCTCGATGCGTCGATGCGACGCATCATACAAGATGCAATCTACAAACGAGAGGGAAAAATTAATTCACCTCGGCAAAAAGTTAATTCTTCAGCACCCTTATTAATAATTCATTGCATTATGTTTGCAACGGCGAGAAGCGAGTAAACTGCACGCACATGTCGCTTACCCTACTAGAGAGAATTCTCTCTCTCTCTCTCTCTCTCTCTCTCCCTCTCTCTCCCTCTCTCTCTCTCTCTCTCTCTCTCTCTCTCTCTCTCCCTCTCTCTCTCTCTCTCTGTCGAACGAGACGAAGTGAACTCGTGCGATTCGTGAGTTAGGCGCGAACCGCGCAGCGGAAGAAAAAGTGCCGCCGCGTATAATTTTACGATTGGCAGCTACCTTTAGTCGTAACCTTCGTGCAGGAATGCGAATGCAAACTACTGACATGGCCTGTCAGAGGCGAGTGAAAACACCATAGCGTATAAGAAAGAGACGGGCGAAAGGGGAAACGTTTAAAAATTAATCATCTCTTTCCTTTCGCCTCATTACTCGAATGCAATCCGTCGGCAAGAAATTCGTCAGGTCAGACAGGCACCTCGTACGTATGTCGCGACCTTGAGTTACGCAATCTCTCCGAGCGAACGGTCGTGTATAGATACAAGTTGCGGATGTCCATCGCGGGTGACTTTTAATCCTGACGGGTTGTAGCGGGAGTGCTCTTGACAAAGTCTGCTAGATCAAGGTTGCTTTTTGCAACACGCCTGGGAGCCACACACACACACACACACACACACACATTTCCTCCAGTCGAAAGATTGTTGTTGCGGCAAGGTTTCAAGTCGCCGACGAAATCGGCTGGAATCTCGGAATTCCCCCAGACATATTATTGCTTGGTCCTCATACAGCGTCCTCATTCTTCGCGAATGTTAAAATCTTTTACTCGTGGCGCGAGAGCTCGATTTCATCCGGCATGTTCCGCCTTCAATACGCTCCATCGACTAATAGATGCACGCATCGCTAAATCCATTAAATTACCAGTCCCGTCGATTGAAAGCGCCGCCAATTTATAAGTGAGTGTTATTCCCTCAATTTACGTTGATACGCCACAGCCTAATAATTATTAAGTGATATTCGGTTTCACCGTCTCCCCCCCCCCCCGCCCGCCGCCGCCTCTCCCTCCATCCTTGCCGTTCTCAGTGGTGTGGAAAGTAGTCGGCTGTACAAATTACACGGAACGACATCCGCATTCAAAGGCTTTTTATTAATTAGTTCGATTTAGCGTCGATGAATGCCGCACGGTGAAGTTACGTATCTCGCGTCATGATCGTCATTTCTGTTTGATACAACTCCGCAACGTAGCCGTTTCTCCGTAGTCGACGGTTTAACGCATTGCATTCCGCAAGGCTCGTGATTCAAGCGTAAATCGAGATCTACTTGCACTTTCTGCGAGAACTTGGCGGCGAAGAAGCAAAAAGAGAGCGATAACATACTGTCTGATTAGCTCCCCCCCCCCCCCATGCTAGTGCGTACGCGAGTTCGATCTCAGCGGATAACTTCATTCGAAAAGCCACCAAGATCGCGGCCTTGTGCGGTAATCGTGTAAAAGAGAAGCGGTCATTAACTCGCAAACTACACGGTATCAATCGCCGACTTGAAACAGTAGCTGATTGTCCGTACGTGAGATAGCCAAGCCCAACCCGAGGATCGCGAGAAACCGAATGTACCGAGAGCGTGCTTCGGCGTGCGAAGATAACGAGCGCAGCGATTGAAAGGGTCAACAGCAGCGAACGTAACGTTTGTTCGGCAATTTATAGTTCGCATACCGCGGAGAGAGTGCAAAATTACTCGTCGCTCACAAAGCTGCACGATACGTGGTATTTGTTAACCATGAGTGGTATAAATTACCGACGAGTGTTGCGCAACACTCGCGATCTCTCCTCTCTCAGACGTCGCTACTGACCGCTCGTTCGTCCCGAAGAAGCCGAAGTTCGATTTCTTAATACGACCTCGAGAAGATGCGTGCCCGAAAGCACGGAGATCTCTCGTCTGAAACCAGTCATCGTTTACGGTATTCCGCTCGAATACGGCTCGCGAACGCCGGATGCTCCACCTGCGCGGTTTAATAATTAATTTTGACCCAGTTCCCGGGAAGCTACCGACCCGGGAAGCCTTGTTCGGATTTTCCTCGAATAGCAGGAGGACCGAACCGCATTAGACTACAATTGTAACGCAGAAAAACTAAATCCAAAATTATCACCACGATTTTCTCACATTCTCGATTCTCGGGAAGAGGCGAGCTGTTCTGTAACGTAACGTTAGATCGTAGCTAATCGACGATTTTTTCGCAGGACGCATTTTTTCATCACGCGACAGACGAAAAGCGAATTGTCCAGCGAATCGCCGCAGTTGTACCGACGATAAATATAATCGCAGAGAACGCTCTACGAGCCGAGCCCGTTAAGTGAGATTAATTTGCGGTACTGGTTCTCGGCAACGTGAAATCATGCAACGCGAATGCAACTTGATGATCCTTTAATCGCGCGGTAGCGCGCGTTAAAAGCTTCTGGATATCACTTAACGCACTCCAATCGCCGGTAATTGTACAAACCGATATTTAACGGCTCATTGTTTCCCCTCTTACCGAACATAAGGAGCTGTACAGCGGTTGAACGCTCGTTGCACAACTTGCGGTTAACTTACATCGTAATCTCCGCGGAGATCTCGGCGGTACTGCATGCAATTGCAGTCGCATGCTATTTCCGCGCGTCGAAAACGACATCGATAACAAACGTTTCTCCGGCAGTTTCTGCATCGCAAAACTATCGAAACCGGAAAAATTATGGAATAAATTAAATTTTTCTTTTTCTTTCATTTCCTTTGCTTTCAATTAAAAACTGGGAGAACTGGGAGAGAGACAGACAGGCTGAAAAACTGAGAAGCTGAAAGACCGGACGATGAAAAAATAAAAAGTCGGACGGTCAAACACGGTGCGCAGAGATGCAGCGAAAATTGTCTCGAAATTTCAGAAATTCGGCGATTCATCCTAGAGAATCCACATCAGCGTTTAATATGAAAATCGGTTATATTTCGAAACTTTCATCGTATTTATTTTGCATTCTGCAACGGGAAACGGGAAATGAAACTCGGCAAATGAAATACGGCGGAGAGACACTCGAGACGAGAACAGACAAAATATCTGCCATCGCAATCAGTCTCTCCGGCGTTTCAGATCCTCCGAAATATCTTCTTGGTGCGATTGCTCTCATATCATCTCATATCAGCATCTGGCATGCATAGACGTAGTTTCCGTGCTGCAAAGCGTGCATCGTCCGTGCCGGCCATTCATCTCGCGCGAAATATAACTACCTATCATAATGGAAACTACGTGATCGCTTCCCGCGTATGGCGGCGTATGGAAACAGTAGCCAGTGGCTAAACGGCGTACCCGGTCGTTATGCTTCGTCCACGCCTGCGACGAGGAGAGCGAGAGCACGTTAAAGTGTCCAAGTTAAATTCAATCTTCGTCGTGCGGGCCTTGAGTATATATATCTGGTCTCTCGATCTTTTGATGTTTAACACATCGTTCGACCAATGTCGCTCGATGTCAGCTAAAGTCTCCCGACACCTTTATAAGAGGCGCGATTAACGCGCTGAGAAATGGAGTTTCCTCGCGCGCCCTCTTGCTCTTGCAAATCGAGCGAACCGGAGAAATCTGCTCGCGGCGCCATATGTCCAAAATGTCCGGGAGATACGACGCAACGTGCGGCGCGCCCGAGAAATCGCCGCTGAACTCGGACGTGGACGCGTGTTTTAATCGGCCGCGGAGATACACGTCCGCGTTCCTACATCCTACCTTGCAAGCCGTTCGTTACATCGCGGATGTGGTAATCGCGCGCCGAGGCGATTTCGGAGGCCGCGGCAGCGGCAGCATCCGTACGCGGCGCGTACGTACGTACGTACGCGCACAATTTCTCTCAATATTGC